TGAGACATGTTGGTGCAGTATGTGAATCCCTGCTTTGGTGATGTGGCCCCTGCGTGAATAGGGGCAGAACAGAGACTGTTCTTCAAAGGCCTTGCTCCAAACCTCGTCAAAACATGCCAGAGGAAGGCTTCCAGCTTTGCCTCTCAAGCTTCCCTGGGCAAAGGGAAAGGACAAGGAGTGTAAGCAAGGGCACCAGGCACAAGGGAGCTGGCTGCTGAGATGGGACTGAGCCTATCTGTGTTTCTGCCCAGGCTCTAGTCCAGTTGACTGGTCTCCACAACCCCTCATGTCCCCCTGTCCCTGAGGTAGGTGGTCCACCAGAGAGCCCCAGGCTCCATGTCTAGAGAGCCCTAGGTACTGGGATCTAGTCTATAAACGATAAGGGCTGCAGAATCCACAGAGGGGCCTTGCCAGAGACCTCTGGCCTGTTCCCAGCTTGGGCTGCCACCAATGGGAAGGAAAGGATGTTTTAAATGGGATTTTGGTTAAAAACCTGTCAGATGCAATATACTTCACCTCCTGCTGTGATGAGTCTGGGGGAAATGAGAAGATGGTGGGAGGAACACACCCACCAAGCCGTGGTGCAGCTTTTCTATGGACTTTGAGATTTTATACACACGTCTTTTATGTTCCACATTTTAAAAATAAACAGCCAACCAAAATCTTTTTTTAAAAAAATTGGAAAATTTCACCACTTAAAGAGAACAGACTTTATTTTTAAGACGCTAACTGACCAGCTATGATAGAGGTGGCTGACCTGCTGTAGACACTTACAGAGCATCCCTAGTGGGTCATGGGCTAGAGGCTATGTGACAACATGGTTTACCATTGTCAAGGGGATAGAAGGGGTCAGATCTTTGGCCCCTACTTCTCCTAGCCCTAGACAGGGAAGTCCTGGCTCCTGCTCCCCCTGGCGTTTCCCAGAGGAGAAGATGAAGTTAAGTGACATGCTCAAGATGGAGGTGAAGACCACCCAGTGTGGCTTCTCTCCCTCTGTGATGGCTTAGAGATGACAGCAACCTGCAGGTGGCCCCATCCCCATCTTACCCACCTTTGCAGGGTCACCTGACATCAGGGAAGTCCAGGCTTGACGTGGACAGCAGCCATCACCCTTGTGCCTGATGCCCCCTGACTCCCCGTCTTGTCTATTGCCTTCAGGCGAGGCATCTTAAGAGGCAGGGCTAGGTGCCTCACTCAGAGGCCATCCACCGCTGGAATTACATCCTGTCTCCCATTATGACCAATAAATCCCAAGCAATCTTTTTTCTCCTCATAGTTTTTAGGGTTACATAAATTTCACCTATGCAATTTTTTCATGCTTGAATATATTACAGAATGCCACTTCTGCCGCAGGAGCTAATTGATAATGTGATTTGTTATGTTGCCGGGACATAATTCAGAAAGTTATTTTAACGCTTTTGATACATGGAATAGCACTCGCTGTTTAATATTTCTCACATGAGCAGACGCGGTGTGAGGTGAAGAATGTGATGCTGCAGATGAAATATTTCCAGAAGCTTTTATTCGTGTTGTTTGGGTGAGTGCCAACATCTTCGTAGAAGAAAGCTCATATTTCCAGTACTGCTCTGATTTGAATTTATCCCTTGGTGATTAGTTAGTTTTGTGTTTTTTTTTTTTAATTCTGGAACAAGTATGCAATATATGTTTTAAAGGGGGGGGGGAGACAAAACAGAGGCAATTCACACATAACTCTCCAGACACAGTGGAAGATGTTTATTTGACGTATTTCTGTTTCAGGTAGATTCTCTGAAGTCAGAAAAACAGTGTGCAGTGCACCCTACCTATGATTGTACTGTTGGTGTGTTCAGGCAAAAAAGAAAAATCCCACAATTCAACAGTTTGTAACAAACCACAACATTCTGTGCAGCTTGTCAGGCTGTGCGGTGTCACATTGTCCACCATGGTGGATCTTGCTACCCGCCTGCCAGGCTTGGGCCACCATCTCAGGTGTCAGATTTAGTGTCCTAAAATCTCAGGACTGTGCGGACATGACCCTTGCTTTACCAGCTGATGGAAGAGAGCACAGGACTGTGGGCCAGGAGAGGGGGCAGGGCGTGAAAGAGAGCCAGCCTCCAGCAGGGACCTCGTTGTTCTCCTACGTTCCCCTCTGGGATTTGCTGCTGTCTGCTCTTTTCTTTGAATCCCAACTTCCAGGATAAAGGGCCTCCAGTCCCTCCCCCTCCTCCTCCTCGAGTGGTGACATTTTGCAGAATGGTTAGAAACAGAAGAGAGACTGTGATAGGAGTCCCAAGTGTTGGTAAGGTTGCCATGCTTCTGCCTGTGCGTAGCTCTGCAATACTGTCTCCTGTGTGGGTGGGTGTCACTGCCAGAGTCAGGATGCAGAATGGGCAGAATGGTCAGGATACAGTGTCCTTGCTACTGTCCCCAGCCCTGCTCTATGCCCTGGCGCTACTTGTTTCTACACTTTGCCATTTGAGAATGTTTCATAATGAAATCATGTAACTTTCAACAGTGGCTTTTATTTCTAAGCAGGGACCCTCCAGGTCCATCTAGATGGCTCTGTTGATGGCTTTTTTGGGGTAGAGGGTTGTGTATTTTGTTTTGTTTTAATACAAGAATAAGTGCTATGGTTCAGCTCTGGAGTATTCTTCAAAGCCCATAAGTCAAAAGCTTGGTCCCCAGTGTTGCTGCAGGAGACTGGGCCCAGCTGCAGAAGGATTCTTTAGGTCTTGGGGGTGGGAACTTGAAACGGTTTGTGGGACCCTGGCCTCGCTCCTGTTTTGCCTCCTGGCTATAAAGCAAGCAGTTCTGCTTGTCATAGGCTTTGCCATGCTGCGCTGCCTCTTCACAGGCTAGAAGCAGGACTGTGAGCCTGAATCAGCCTAAGTTCTTTATCATGGTGAAGGGGCACTGGTCCACACTGTGGTGTTACAAGGAATGCTGTCTTCTGTTCACTGAGGGACATTTGTGCTGTTTCTGGTGTTTGACTACCATGAACAAGGCTGATCTAAATGCTCGGGCGTACCTATGGGGTGGGAGTGGGGGACGAAGCTCCACTTTCTTGGGATAAAGAAATATCCAAGACTACGCTCGGGCTAAGGGACGCTGGATGCAAGTTTTGTTTTGTATAAACGTCTCCTGGCATGACAGCAGTGTTCTGTAACACTGTCGGCATCATTTTCCTTCAGCTAGTACAGTCAGTATTAATTTGTGCTTTAGAAAACAACATTTTTTTTTTTTTTTGCTACATGGCCTGATCTAGGAAGCTTTGGCATCAGTCCCTCAGTGCCCACCAGCAGGGAAAGGTGAGAGCACAGTAGCTGTACTGGCTGGTTTTATGTGTCAACTTGACACAAGCTGGAGTTATCACAGAGAAAGGAGCCTCCTTTGAGGAAATGCCTCCATGAGATCCAGCTGTAAGGCATTTTCTCAATTAGTGATCAAGGGTGGGAGGGCCCCTTGTGGGTGGTGACATCCCTGGGCTGGTAGCCTTAGATTCTATAAGAAAGCAAGCTGAGTAAGCCAGGGGAAGCAAGCCAGTAAGTAACATCCCTCCATGGCCTCTGCATCAGCTCCTGCTTCCTGACCTGCTTGAGTTCCAGTCCTGACTTTCTTTGGTGATGAACAACAATTTGGAAGTGTAAGCTGAATAAACCCTTTCCTCCTCAACTTGCTTCTTGGTCATGATGTTTTGTGCAGGAATAGAAACCCTGACTAAGCCAGTAGCACAAGGGGGCACTACTCTGAAGATGCACTCAGCTGTCAAGAATGCCTCTTTCAGTCCCTGTCATTTCCTCAGGTGCCATGTTCCCCAGGGCTACTCATCTGATTCTAGTTCTGTGGAGCCAGCTCTGGGCCCCACCAGGCTTAGGACAAGAAATAGCTGTCTCACACTGGTGGATCTCCATCCCTTGATTTCACAGGTCTAGTTCAGAACACAGGAAAAGCCTCACAACTGAGATGATCTGAGCACCCCCACCCCAAGAGCTGTATCCAAAGCCAGTGCCTATTGTTGGGTGTAAGAAAGTGGATGTTTGGGGCCCAGCTTGGGAAGTGACTGAGATTTATCAAAGTCATGGTGTGTAGACCTATGGCTGGATCCTCATGGCTTTGTAAGAGGAAGAACAGAGACTGGTGAGGGATACTCCCTGCTGCTCACCGTCAGATGCCTGTAGCATCTTGGGACACAGAACTCTATCAGCAAGAAGGCCATTGCCAGACACAATCCCCTGGGCTACCAGAACCATGATATGAAATGATCCTCTGGTCTTCAGAGTGTTGTGTCACTAGGAGAGAGAATAGGAAATAGCCCCACCCTGACCCCTTAGCAGAGGCAGCAGGCAGTCAGGGAAGCTATGAAGCACACTGGGACTCCAAGCTCCTGCCCTGTCGACTGCTCTTTGCTCTCCCCCTCTCCTGGCCAGGGAGCCAGAATGGGCAAAGAGGATGTACACCTGAACTTTGTAGTCCATGTCTTAGAGGGACCTCCAGGGCCTTGTAGGTCACCCTTGACTGCCATATCAGAGAAAAGCCTGGTTGGAAATGCAGAAGGATCACATAGGAGACAGGTCTTCTCTCCACCCCCCAAGAGTCCTGACACAGCAGCCAGGAGACAGGGGACAGGAGGGTTACAAGCATCTCCAGAGTGTGGGGCGAATGTGATGCATCTGGGATCACTTAAGGATAACAGGCTCCTGTCAGCTTTGATGGAGTCAGAGTGTGCTAGTGATCCTAGCCAGAAGTCCCAGCTCCTGTCCTGAACTTCCAGAAACACACCACACACTTTGTTTTGTTGTTTACTAAAATACTGAAAGGAAAAACATACTTGCAGGCTAACAAGAATTAGCAAGAGCCTAGGTGCTATACCCAGCAAGAGCTGTCTTCTTGGGGTTATGTATTGTGAACAGAAAGACAGATATCTGGCTGTGTCAAGGCTGGGGGGAACCCCAGAAAGTGGGGAGGAATCCCGGAGGGGTAGAGCTAGGGAGGGTGGCTTCACAAAGACTCCAGGGTTTAGCTCACACAATGGCTTGGTGGGGCAGACCATACAGAACCCAGTTGAGTGAAATGGCGAGTGACTCAAAGTGGTGAAGTCGTAACTCAGACAACGGCTCATCCTTGAAGGTCTGGGGGCTCTCATCTGTGGAGCATAGACACAACCTATGAATCCCAGAACTCTCTGTCAGTAGCCTGGGTCCTGCCAGATGACCAGTTTTACCAAGGGCATGATGCCAGGGAGAGGGGCGCACTGGGGAGCAGGTTGGTGCTTCTGGCTACAGGGGGCCATGAGTTCTCCCTGCAGCCTGACCACAACAGCCCTGTTGCTTCCTGTTCCTCAGTGTAGACAAGGTGTGGAAACTATTGGGGGCTGGCTATGTGGCTGTCAGTGGGTTGTCAGTGACAGCACCAGGATAGAACTATGGTCAGGACCAGTCTCCATCTGTCTACCTTCACCAGACTCCATGAGACATCTGAAGGCTGGAGACTGGCATCATAACTCCCTCTGTGATGCCCAGAGGCACCCCTGCCCTGGGTGGGACAACCCACAGGGATAAGCATCATTGGGGTCCTTTCTTCCCAAGCACACGCTGATTGCTTCAGCTTGGGCTCCTCTGTGCTGACAGGAACTGGAGGGCCAACACTGATGGCAGTTGTCATGAGGCCCTTTCTCCATTTATGGCAAAAAAAACAAAAACAAAACAAAACGTGCTAGCCCACTCTGTGTTAGCAGAGGGAGCTGGATGGAGCCATGCCTAGTCCCTTTTCTGGTTTGTTAGGGAGGAGGCAGACATCACCACCTTTGTCTACTTAGTCTCCAGTCCCTCTTCCTTTACTAGGCTGCTCAGTCACTTGCTCTCACAAATTTATCCATTCACTTCACCACCTCACATGTCCATTCATTCATTCACCCCCCACTCTTTCACCTACTCACTTGATCACTTACCCACTTAATTCTCCCCTCAACTAACTGGTTCACTCATGAACACCGGAGTTCGTCCATTCACTCACCCACGTATTCACTCTTCATTCATTCATTCATTCATTCATTCATTCATTCATTCATTCATACTCATTTACATACTCAACTCCCTGCCCCCACCCCTGCAACTACATTCCAGGTACTGGGGAAGCCCGTGATTTTTCAAAAGTTAATCTCATACTGAGTTGTATTGAATGTATTTCGGATTTCTCGATTTTAAATCCTCCCAGGATAAATCTTTCTGAATTATGGTACAGTTTCACTTTAGCACATTCCTAAATGCAATTAGCTAGAGTTTTATCTGATTTTTTTTTTACCCTAGTATCCCTCATATGAAATTTATCTGCAAAGTCCTTCACTGCAGCTGGCACATCTTGGCACAAGGTTTGTTTTGAAGGATGAGTAGGTGGAGTTTGTCTCATCTAGAACAGGCACACACACCCTGCAACCCTGCCTGAAGCTTAACCCCTGAAGCTAGAAGGCTGTCAGACATTTCACAGGGACAGGAGATACAAGTTGGAGGGTCTTCCTGGCTCTGGCATCACCCTCAGTCTGGGAGTTCCCCTTCCTGAAGGTTTTCTTGTCTTGGTTGAGGAAGACTAGGAGGCCCCATGGGGCTCATGGACTGGGTAGCCTAGGTGGCCAACTCACCAAAGTCGTCCCTCTGGGCAGAGGGACAGCTCAGGGATCACCGAGATCTCCCCATCTTTTCAAAGAGAGTACAGCTGAGCTCTTTCACTTGCTCTCCCTCCCTCTTTCTCTTCCACATTCCCCCTCCTTCCCTTCCTCCTTCCCCCTCTCCCATCCCCCCCCCCCATGTGTGTTTGTGGTGAGCTAAAGGCTAGGCTCCTCTCTGTTCTTGTTCAACTCCAGCTTACCCAGAGGCTGAGAAGACTACATTGGCTTCTCCACAAGGACAGTGCTTGCTGGCTCATGCACTCCCTTTCCTCCCTCCCTCCCTCCCTCCCTCCCTCCCTCCCTCCCTCCCTCCCTCCCTTCTTCCCTCCTTCCCTTCCTCTTTCCCTCCCTTCCTCTCTCCCTTTCCCTCTCTTCCTCCCTCCTTCTTTCCCTCCCTCCCTCCCTTTTCCCTCCCTTCCTCCCTCCCTTTCCCTCCCTCCTTCCTTCCTTCCTTTTTTCCTCCTTCACCCCTCCCCTTTCCTTCACTCTCCCACTCTTTCTCTCTCCTAAAGTGGGGACACCCTATCCCTGAGAACCACAGAGTACAATGTAACCCCAGGGACTTGTACAGACAAGCAAATGGTTGGGCAGTCTCTACCTTACCTTGGCTACCTGTTTCATTTTGTAGCCTATGCACGAGACGAACTGTTTTCCCAAGTGGCTTGCCAATTGCTAACAGGTCTGGGGGTGGATGGGGGAGAGAAAAGTCCCTTCAGATGGGCTACAGACACCCTTGGAAGGCTTCTAGCAAAAGCCCCAAAAGACTTTGGGATAGCCAGGATGCCTACTCACTATCCCACAGGATGGTGGCTCTCAGCGAGTTGTCTTTCAGGTGTGTGGGCCACTGGTTGTTGACAATGCTCTCAACCCCTATCAGACTCAGAAGGATGGCAGTCTCGATGGGATTCTCCAAGGACCGCTGTGATACACTGTAGAGATACAGGGACTGGCACCCAGGGGCTGACGGTGCTCCCTCCATCCTTCCCTGCATCAGCTGCTGGACTGCATGTGTGGGCCAGGGCCTTTATAGTTCTGAATCTCACCCACAAAAGTTAAATGTTACTTAACAGGAAATAGCATTTTTAAGTATTGTCAACTCAGTCTAGTGGCAGCTCCCAGGCCTAGCATGGAGCCCACAGTGGGAGTTGGTACCATTAGGTAGAAGGTGCTGGCCAGACCACCCTGGTAGTCCACCAGTCCTTAGGGTAAGCTCTATTGGCATTTGCTCATAACACCCCCTTCCCAGTCCATAGGCTCCTGATGACACAACAAGAACAGTAGGTACCTCTGGCCCTCTGAATTCTCTACCTTCCGCTTCCGGCTCTGAGAGGACCTTGTCAAGTCCAGCAGGACCATCATCTGGCATTCTGCAGGACACAGTGAGGCTCTTCAGTAGTCACCCACGCCATTACCAGATCCCCATGAGAGCTGCACTTTGACAAATCAACCTGATGCTTAGACTTTCAACAGGTTCTTTCAGGTACCCATTGATCACACATAGGAAACGGGAAACAACCTACTTGGGCCACTTCTAATAGTTCCTAGCATAGAGAGCTCTGCTCCTTCATCATTTATGGAAGCTTCTGACATTCCATACTGGTGCCAAGAGAGAGAAGGAACCTTGGTGTATCCCCGTGGGGGTGGTATGAGAAGCTGGCCCCAAAGATGGGCCGGCCAAAGGAACTATGCACATTAGAGGGCCTTGGAAGCTGACCAAGCTTATTACACCTCAGCTTGCTGCAGATGTAAGATGGTCACGAGTACTTTGGGTTGAGTGGGCCACCCTAGACAGGAATGCTTACTGAAACAAGTGGTGATATGTCGTCCTGGTGTGACTATCTACAGGACCTCCATGGGCACAGAGGTGAGATGAGCTTTGGCAACTGTTCCTGTAGGCCAAATGTCCACCTGTGCTTCTGATAATGGGGTTTTGCTCAATTCGCTCATGTACGACTGGTGTGTGCCCAGGGCTACCAGCTGATGAAACAGACCTGGTCAGCATGGAAAGAGACTGTGGCCTCGGTGTGGAGAGAGCAACCAAACAGTTTCTACATAACTGGGCAAGGGGCCACATGCCTCACGAGGGAGGAAATGACATCTCTGAGATATAGAAAAGGCTTATTATCCATTGACTGTGCATGGTGGCTGGCCCTGAGCAGTCCAACAAAAGCGTCCTCCTACAGTGAGGAAAAGGACCTTGGGCAACCTTAGAGAAACACAGACACACCAGAAGGCCTATGGCCCGGCGCTGAGATGACTGTGGAGCACAAAGACCACCACACTGCAACATACTCTCCAAATGTCTGAACACTGAGCCTACTGTGTGCTGTGTGTTATGGGTGCTGTGTCAGCATGGCCCTCCTGGCAAAGGTGCTTGTAAGCACACCATACTCAACATGTCACATGGTATTTCGTTCTGAACTTAGCCTAGGTCACTTCCCACCTGTGGTGCCCTCTACTTGGCTTCTGAACCCCTTTAGTCCCTGGGATGTCTGCGCATAGCACTTCCATGATAGCCCTGGGCCTGGTGTTAGTAGATGCACAGAAAGATCAAGACTCCTGAACACCCATGTTCAGATTGGGAAGGTTCTACACGGTTCTTTTAGCCTAGTCCTTTGAGGTGACACCTCACGTCTGATGCTCATCTGTGGGAATCTGGCAATCCGAACAGGGCTCTTCTGCATATAAGGAGGTGCTGAGGGCAACCAAGAGGGTTGCCCTGGAAATGGAGTGTGGGGACAGTTTTCAGATAGAGCACAGGTTAGGGGAGGGGGCTATGGCTTCCTGAAGCATTGTCCTAGACTCCAGATCAAGCAGCAGTAGCAGCAGTCCTGCTTTCCTCCCTAGGATCCCATAGGTGCCTGCAGGCCCTGGCTGGGGCTGTTGTGGGGGAGGGGCATCACCTTGCAGATCCATGGCTACCAGTCTTTCTACTTCCAGGTGGGACAGGAAGGTCTCCATCCCGTAGAAGAAAAAGCCTCTGCAGCTGTCCAGTACCTGCTCCCAGTCAGCCTGGCTGCACAGGGTGAAAACAGCAGGTGGGTATGATCACATCATATCTTGCCTAGGGGAATGCACCTGCAGCCCCTCCTTCCAGCAGGGAATGTCCCCTGCCACCTGCACTAACTAAACCCTTTATTCCGCTGTGCGGCCCAAATTATTTTTGTTTTCCCAGTGTACAGCTGGCCTCAGATGGACCCTTACCCCCACCCCCAGGGATGAGCTGGTCTAGGAAAAAACATACATCTCATGCCAGTGGAGCTGGCTCTGGTAAGTATTATAGCACCTCTAATATGGGAGACAGGGAGTAGGTATGGTCTTCATCACCAGCTCTGACCTCCACCCCTAGCCCTGCACAGGCTCACTCCTGTACCTCCATGCCCCTGTACCAACTGGCTTGGCCCCTCCTGCTCCAGGTCCATCCACACTAAAAGATAGGGATGACAGAATGCATGCCCACAGGGGCCAGTGTATAACCCTACTCTACCTGAGGAGATCTGAGGTTACCTGGGGCAGATCATGTGTGGGTGAGTGACCCTGAGACTCTAACAGTATCTTTTGCCTAGTGCTGTGCCCTGGGCTCTATAGGACAGACCTAGCCAGCAGGGAAGGTGTCACACGTGGGCACCAGCCTCTCTAATCAGCGTTTGAAGACTCAGGACCCAACCTTGGAAAGTGGCTGCTTCCCAGGAACCCTATCCAACGTGCAGCAAATGAGTCTCGGTACTTTTCCAAGATTTCCTGGGTTACTAAGACAGGTCTCAGTATGTCTGCAGGAAGAATTGAAAGAGGCTGTGACTTCCACATCAAGGCATGGGGGATGGGCTCCTGTGCCATTGGGCTGGAACATAGTGGGTTTTAAGCACAGGTAGGAATCCTTTCTTCTTCAGTTGGAGGAATTGGTAGAGAAGGATAAACAGTAGGAAGAGAAGGAAGGGGCAGGGAGGGGGGATTTGAGGGGAGGAGGCGGCCCCAGTGAATCAGAGTATTTAGAATGCCAAGGTGCTCCACTTGTACTCAGACCCAAGGCTCCAAGGCCACTTGAGGTGATTTCCATACAGCCATGAGAGCAGCCGGCACAAGGCCGGGTGGCCTTGGCCTACATTCCGGGAGCCTGTGTGATGTTCTTACCTTTGTCCCGGGCCTCATCATAAGGGTCCACAACAACTGAGTCTGCGTCAAGGACAAACTGGAGCCAAAGCAGAATCCAGAGGGCCCTAAGCCCCCGTTATCAAAGGATACACTTGATGGTGTCTGAGTCGATTAGGGTGCACTCCGGGGGGATGATCCGGATCATGGTACTCTGTGACACACATGGAGATGTCAACACCTGGGCTCACCAGCTGGGGCCCAGAAGAGCTGGTGGGCCTGACTGAACAGCAGCTGAGAGGAGCATGGGGTCCCTGGGCTCCCACCCACCTACCTTCAAGCCCTTCTTTCCTGGAGGTTTCTTCTTTAAGTCCTTGCTCTTGGTCTCTTTCTTCACACTGCCTTCTGTGGAGGACAGGGACAGGTTGGAAACATCAGCAGGCACATGATACTGCAAGGGCACCAGATGCTGCTCAGTTGCTCAGTTTTGAATTTTGCAAATCTGATGTGGTGAAAACAATTGATTTTACGTTTTGTCATGTCAAAACACAAAGCTTTGTAGGCCCAAGGAAAGCGCCTGAGAAAAGATCAGCCCCCAAGGCTTATAGGCACCCATTTCTGACCATGTTCTGCACAAAGAACTCACCAGATAGATATTTGCACCCCTGCTCATTGCAGGATCTCTGCACAGACTCAGAGCCTGTGTTTTTTTCTATGCTGAGCTGTCCCCAGTGGGTAGGTCTTTCTGCTGTCACACGAATAGCTCCATGCTCCGCTGTGGTCATCTTCCTCCTTCTCCACCCCGTCCCTTTCACTCCTGTTACACCCTCCAGGGTGGGACTTCCACAGGGAATGGGGGTTGAGGCACAGGCATGGCTCTCTGCCATCCCCACTTTTCCAGGGACACTTCTCCAGGACACACTAGGAGGGTGCTTGGTTCTGATGGATCTTCTATCAGTGTCAGAGCTGACCTTTACACAGGCCCTCAGGTACACCTGAGTCTTGTACTTCCGGAGACCTTTATCCTCATCAAGTAGCTACTTACTTGCTTTCTAAGTGGAAATCAATTTGCATCTTCTCAGAGTTTTATAAAAAGGAAGGCATCTGTAGTGTGCCCTCTTTGGAGTCTTTCCCTGGGCGCAGTCTCCTCAATGCTGGCATGTTCCCCTCCATCCAAGTGGGTGTTCAAAGGACCATCAAGTGGCTGCTCAGTTGTGGGGAGCAGAGGAAGGCCTAATGCATGCATACTGTTGACATGGGTGTGGCCATGTCAAGCATCATAGGCTCAGACCCATTGGAAAATGATGAAGTCCACCCCACACTCCAAGGCTCAGAGGAAAACAGCAGTGTTGGTATTGTGTGAAGAAAATGTCCACCACGGCTTTCTCCCTCCAGTTCTTTATAGAAGACTGCTCCCAGCCGGGCGGTGGTGGCGCACGCCTTTAATCCCAGCACTCGGGAGGCAGAGGCAGGCGGATTTCTGAGTTTGAGGCCAGCCTGGTCTACAGAGTGAGTTCCAGGACAGCCCGGGCTATACAGAGAAACCCTGTCTCGAAAAACCAAAAAAAAAAAAAGACTGCTCCCCAACACAGACTACTCCTAGAGATTAGCTATTTTGTTTATTTCTATATAATAATTTTGCCTCTTTGCTTATCTATATGTAATAACCCCACTTCCTTGTCCAGCTTTATGCAATAATCCTGCCTCTTTGTTCAACCATATATAATAAACATGCTGAACTTCCAGAGTCCTGTGGCTTCTCCATTAGAGAGCCTAGTCTACCCAATCCCAGCTTCTCTCCCTCCCTCCCTCCCTCCCCTCTCTCTTCTTTCTCTCCATCTCTTTCTCCCCTTCTTCTTCTTTCTCTGTATATATGTGTATGGTCATTTTTTTCACTCCCTCACCACCCCTCAGTCAGATCAAGTCTCCACAACTGTGTAAAAGCATGGCCCTGAGTGTTTCAGTTCAGTGGCTTCCAGGTTTGGGCTGTCAAGGGGAGTGGTACAGGTGCTTTCTCATCTCTTATGTAAAGATCTAGAGGAGGGAGCATGGGTTGCCTGTGGGCCAGCATGCAGCTTTTTTTGGGGGGGGGGGTTTCGAGACAGGGTTTCTCTGTGTAGCCCTGGCTGTCCCGGAACTCACTATGTAGACCAGGCTGGCCTCGAACTCAGAAATCCACCTGCCTCTGCCTCCCAAGTGCTGGAATTAAAGGCATGCACCACCACTGCCCGGCAGCGTGTAGCTTTTATGACCATTCCCCCACTGTCTCCCCAGTGGTTCTCTTGTGTGCTGTTCCTAGCAACACCAGCTTTCCTAGCAACAGTGGGCAAAGCCTGCGCCTCTTCATCTTCTCTGCTACTCACAATGGTGAACCTCTTCATTTAATTATTTATTTAAAATGTTCGATTCAATCATTCATCTTTTACTTGGATTAGCAAACACATTGGTACATGGTGGGCTATTCTGAAGCCCGCACGCACCATGGACTGGTGGAGCCGAGCCCGCCAAACGGTCACGCCACACATTCCCCTCCCACATGTTTGGCAAAATTACCTAAACACTACTTTCAGAACACATGGTGATGTGGCCAATGCCACATCACCATGTGACTCAAACAAGGCTCTGGGTTCTAAAACCAGGACTACAGAAAGAGAAAAGCATTGGGGGCGGGGCGGGGGTGTGTGTGCCACTGTCCTGGGTTGGCTGGTACCTTGTTTCCTCTTTTCTGCCTGGCTTTTTGTCTTTGTGGTTGGAAGGAGGAGTGTGGCTCTTACTGTTTTATCTGGAGGGGCAGGAGATGTGCAGGCTATTTGACTTAACTTGGTATTTACTGAGCACTGAATACCTTTCCCTTCTGCAGTCCTGGTTTTAGAACCCAGAGCCTTGTGTGTGCCGGGCGAATGCTCTACTACTGAGCTGCATTTTCAGCTTTAATTCTGTTTTTGTTGATGTATGACATGAATTCCAAAGTGTCAGTATGCCCCTGTTGTGGATTTGGTTTATTGTTTACATTATGTTAATTGGGTTCCCAAATTTCATGGGAATGCAAATGTCTGCATATGACATGCTGATGGTCCCTGCCCCCAGCTGACTCTAATTGGTAAGTAAAGTTGCCCTTGGGGACAGGGAGACAGAGGGAGGACTTTGAGTTTCCCAGGAAAGGACCAACGTGGAAGAAGAGGAGAATCGCCATTGCTAAGAAAGGAGAAGACACTATCAGGCCTTACGAGGGCTACCTCTATACTACACGACACTCTCAGGACAGGGATGGATAAAGCCCCAAGGATAAGAAGCTAGAAATCAGAGCTGCAGGCTTAGCTCAAGCCCCGTAGGGCACCCAGCTCCTGTCAGCCAGGATTGAATCCCTGCTAGAAACAGGATTGTGTAGGGCAGAGAGACCTAGACACTGACAACATGTACGAGTCGGGGATCATGGCCCATTAGGGCTGCAGGCCTGGGTCCGTGGTGGCCAAGATAGAATATAGATTTTAATAAGTAATAATTCGGGGATATTGGAGGGGTGAGCATGTTAGCTGTGGGGAGGTTTGGAAGTGCCCAGCCATTGTGTTGTTTAAAGGCTGTGTGTGTGTGTGTGTGTGTTTCATTTGGGAATCCAAACATTTGGGTGGGTAATGAGGAGCACGTGTGTATCTGCCAGAGAGTTTAGAACAGATTATCAATACCACCAATTCATGCCCCAGAAGCAGTTTGGAGGACTTTCACAGACTGGACCGTCCTGCAGTCTCACAGGTGCCCGGCTCAGGGCCTGCCTTGTCTCGCTGCCCCACAGCATCTAGCCAAATGATTCTGGGTGTCAGCGGGATTCTTCTTTGCTGTGGTATCAGTACTCATGAAACATGGGCAGGCTTTCTGTTCACAGAACCAAGTGTCTGTCTACTCTGGAAGTGATTTTGAATGGGTAAGGGCCAAGTAAGATGTGAAAATGCTTGGCAATCATTTTCAGTGTTGGCTTTGGAACGCAGTACCTTGGACACGCTAGTCAAGCACACCACGCTGGGCTGCATCCCCAGTGCCTTGCTCATTATTTTTTGACGGGAGTTAACAGTGTTTTTATCTGAAAAGTAATCTAAATTTTTCCATTTTAAAATTAAGTACTTCTGTGGCTATGGTACTACTCACCTAACTCCTCCTTGTGGAGGCGGTTCCACAGCATCTGGAGAGAAAAATCTCGTGACAGGGAGGTGACCTCATTGAACACGGAGAGTCCCTCGAGGGGAAGCTCTAGGAGGAGCTTGTCCACGATCAGGATTATGTACTCAGGGTCAGGCTGCCCTGTGGAATGGAAATGACAGCAGCTCAGACACAGGAGAGACCAGCTCTGAGGATGGGACAGATCTGGAGCTTTGGCTTTATCACCCCAAGCCCTGATTTTGTGGCTGGATGACTGGCCTGGTGGCTGCTGTTCCGGGCATGGAGATACACTGGAAGACTGTATGTTCCCAGCCTAGCTTGCAGAGGCATGGCTGCATTAGTGCCATGCTAGGCTCCCTGAGGCAGCCACTGGTTTTGATGGTGAGATCAAGTTTATGACAACGGACCTGGACAGAGCCCCTGTGTAATGGTTTAAGACATGGAACTGGACAGAGTCTCTAGGTAGTGGTACATAGGATGCCACATCTCAAGATACCTAACTCCTAAGGTAGGCCGTGTAATATCCAGGCTGAAGAAAACTCCTCCCAGAGGACTTTTCAAAGGTCAGTTCTTCAGAGAGTCCTGGAAGAAAGGCTCACCCTCATGACCCAACTGGCAGCTTCTCTGTGACCATGGATGTGGGCCACTGACTGATAGGTACTGCCACTCTGCATGCAGTTATGCTGGTATCCAGAGGTGGGGCCACAAGCACTCTAACTGGGTTTGTCCATCCATCCATCCATCCATCCATCCATCCATCCATCCATCCATCTGTTCATTCTTTCTCTCCATCTCTCTCTCCCCCCTTTCTTTCTTTCTTTTTTCTCAAGACAAGGTTTCTCTGTGTAGACCTGGCTGTCCTGGAACCAAGCTCATCTCCAACTCACGGAGATCCTCCTGCCTCTGCCACCGAGTGCTGGGATTAAAGGCGTGCGCCACCATCGGGCTTCAACTGGATTTTCTTAGTTTTCAAAACGAGAAGAACAGGTTTGCTTGAAACCTAGCAGTGACTCTTTGTCTCTATTTTTAATCCTGGGAGTTCAGTGCAAGACCGAGACTCAGTTCAGGGGAGAGGCCACAGGGACTGACTGGCTTGCCCACAGAGTATGAAACCTGCACTCAGTTCTCCGGTTGCTGCAGTACTTCTGCGCAACCTCCCCTCACCCTGATTTAGACCTCACACGTTTGCAATCTGCAGTTCTTGGGGTATTTGCTACATCTGGCTCATGGCAATTTGGCCAACTCAACTTGAAAGCTTGGGGCTTTGAGGGGAGGGACTGGGAGTGTGGGGTGGGGGAGGGAAGGGAGCAAGGAGCCATCCCCTTTGCCATCTGTCAACTCTTTGTGGCGATAGAAAAGGAGACAAAATTTAACATAGGAAATTGCCTTTTAAAGGAGTCAGTCTTTAGTAAGATCAGAGAAGTAGCCACGAGTCAGGACGGCCTGCACTTGACCTTCCTGCCAGGAGTCACACAGGGAGAGCATCCTCCCAGTCTTCCCAGTAGGAGTAAAAACAGTGGGGGTTGTGCTAAAAGTACCCTCCAGACAAGACCACCAGCAGAGACCACACATGGGTGGATGAGACAGAGCCCTTTGCCATGGCTACCTCTGGTAAGCTCCCCAACGCAGGGCAACAATGCCCATCTTTCCCAGAAGCACCAGCAGACAATTGTCTGGTCAAGGCAGTGAGAGTGGGCACAACACACTGCTCTTGCTTATGGGTATGGTATGCCAGGAAAGGGCAGCATGGATCCACTGTGTGATAATCTTTCTCAGTGAGCTGTTAGTCTCAGTGCCCAGAACCTTGTAGGGCAGCAGTGTTTTTCAACTTGTGAGTCACAACCCCTTTGGCAGGAGTTGAACAATGGGTTCACAGGGGTCGCCTAAGAGCATTGGAAAACATAGACATTTACATTACATGGACTAGCAAAATTACAGTTATGAAGTAGTAACAGGAATAATTTTAGGGTTGGGGAGTCATCACAACACGAGGTCACAGCATTAGGAAGGTTGAGAACCACTCTTCTAGGGCCTTCCACCTAGCCTGGGGTGACTGTGTTCTAGGAGACATCAAGGAGAGGAACCTTGGGTCCTGTGTAGCATGCCCAGGGAGGACTTGTTTGAGCGTGGAACTTGTGACTCCTGACCCACCCAGGCTTTCTGTGATGGGAGGGTGAGTACCACCACAGAGTCCTGAGGTACCGGCAGTGGCCTGTGGGTCTGTCTGTCCTTTGCCACTTACCTGAAGGGAGAGATACTTTCCTTTCTTTCTCTTTGCCTTTATTTTTCCCTGCATCCCCCACAGCAGTTGGCATCTGAGTTCTGAAATTCAGAGTGACTGTGTTCAGGCTTTAGGAAACATAGGGAAACACTCAAAGACGAGTGTCACTCGGCCCAGTCCTCCGCCCGTGATTGCTACTTCAGTTTTGCTTTTCCGTTTAAAGACACGGTCTCACCATGTAGCCCCCACTGTCTCACAGTGCTCTATGTAAACCAGGCTGGCTGCAAACTCAGAGACCTTTCTGCTTCCTGAGTGCTGGGATTAAAGTTATGTGCCACCACACCCAGCTGTCATTGAGGGCTATCTCTGCATCTGACACACAGTGTCAACAGAGGGGGACCTCAGGATACCCTCGTGCTGCTGGAGAAGAATGCCCACCTCTACTGTCACCTGCCTTCTTTTCTCCCAAAATGCGTGCCAGAGGCTGACCTCTGGAACTTGCTAGTTCTCTCACATCAGACTGCAGTGAGACTCCTGCCTATACAACACACAGAAGAGCTAGGCACTTATGCCTGTCCTTAGTAGGGCCACAACACCCAGAGATAAGTTTCCATGTGGAGGGAAATCTCAGAAACCAGCCCTGGATGTCTGCCTGTCACATGGGCATTTTCCTGTCTCCAGATGTGAGGTTGGAGCTGGCCTTCAGCTATTCCCAGCTGGCCTGGCCTGTGGGCTCCAGGAAGACTGCTGACTGTGGGACTCAGTCCCATGCGCAACAGCCTCTGGTTCCTTCTATTACCAGCTTCAGCTGGTGACAGCCGCCCATCCCCTGGTGTGAGGAAGATGGCTGCCCCCCACCCCGGGAGCCTTCAGAGAAAATGACTCAATCATACCTGGTATCTGGGAAGGTGAACAGGGGCATGATGGGCTTCAGATATTCTTCTGTGTGCTCCAGGATGCTGCTGAGACTGTGAGTGCACTGGTCTGGCTCCTCAACAGGAAAGATGTTGAATTGCTGTCTTAACCCAAACCACAGCCTGTTGTCCAGCAGTGTCTGGATATGACTTCCACTCAAATGGGAAGCAAATTGGGAAAAGCTCATGGAAATAATTAAGCTCCAGCCCTTCCAGATGGAGGGCTGGCATGCTCTCGTTCTTTCTAGCACAATGCTCCCAGTGGTTTTCTGGAGGCTATCCTGACATCTCAGCCCTGCCACTGTCTTCTGATGACACCATGGAGTGCCCTGCTGATAGGGATGGGCCAAGGACTGGTAATCCTATGCTCTGCAGAGAAGAGGTAGCCTGACCTCTTTCTGGGGTCACATTGAATTCAAGGACTCAGGAGGGCTCCCCACCTTTCATGGGGCTTTCCCTTCATCCTCTTGAGTTCTAGCCCCAGTACCCTGGCCCAACTCAACCTTGGAGTCTTGGTTTTCCCTGGGATGGGTCAGTCTACAGTATGGCTTAGAGCCTCAGGCCTCAAGTGCTTGCTTTCAGGGTCACAATTTTTCTGTGTACCTGGACCTGTTTGTACTTCCGGAACCACCGGATATTGGTCAACATGTCAGAGATGGCAGTTGGACTCGTAGCCACCCGAGTTATCTTGCAATAACCTGTAGAGATACACCTATGGCTTTTACAGGGCTCAGAGCAGAGCTACCAGAAGTGTGTGAACATGTGGAGATCCTTGTGAGGGTCTTCTGGGCATGAGGAGTTCCCCATTCCTCTTTGGGGAACATGAGGGCTGGTACCTTGAAAGTTCAGGCAGAGGCAAACACAGTGGTGACTGACCACTAGAGGGAGTTCTAGGGAGGCATGGATCCTCTGGATCCCTTAGAAGCATGTAGGGCCTCTATTTTCTCTTGTTTCCTGGGTTCAGCTTCCCCTTCCCTCCCCTCTGCATCTGGAAGTGAGACTTCCTGCTGAGTGTGTGGTAAGGATTTCTCCCACCCACTGCCACCCATCTGGAGTCAATGGGAGGAGCCCTGCTTACACCCAAGCTTACCGCCCACTGCTATCGATTTCCCCTTGGGTGTAGGCATGTACTTTGGTTTCTCAAAGGCAGCACCATACAGACAAGACCTGCAGGCAGAGCAAAGGTCACAGGCCCAGGCCCAGAGGAGGTGAACAGCAAAGCACATAGGTCTCAGGAGCCTAGCAAGCCAGTCTACAGCTGGCACCCAACTAGGTGCCTTTAAATGTTTATTTTGGCAGACAGGGGCCCAGGAATCAGTCTATATAACCCAAGTAAGAGTGAAATTACAAAAGGTCCAGCCATGCAGGTCTATCCAGATCTAACAGAGAGATCCTGCGTGGGCGCAGATCACATGGTGCCTTCATCCCAATGCATCCCTCGTCATCACGGAAATTCATCCTGGACTTTTCTGGGAGGGTCGGAAGAGGGCTTCCTACGTCTCTGGATTGAACAAGTGCCCATGCCTGTCAAGTGGGCTAGCTGACTCTGTCCAGCATGCTTCCCAGATGGCCCAGTCTGCCTTAGGTTAGGGGCTGAGGTGTGGTAAGCTTGCTATGCCCATGCCTCCTTGCCAGGCTTTCTCAGCAGGGTGGAGATGGACAATGAGAGGAGAGGAAAGCCCTACCTGTCTTGTGAATGCTGCAGAAAGAGGAGCCGGAACATGGGTGCGATCTCATTCAGGATGTTGAAATGCTGATCTGTGACACAGAGGCTCTGCCATGCCTGTGTGTGACAGGGGATAGTCACTCAGAACATAGGGCCACTGATCTCCCCCCCAGGTGTTTGGGCTGCGGAATGCATCACTACCACAAGGGGGCAGCAGAGGCATGAGAAGTTCACTGTCTCCTCTAAATTATCCAGCTCTGCCTGCTTGCTGAGGCAGTTCCCAGAAACCCTAGACAGCATCTCTTCAAGGTCTTTACTGTCTCCTGGAGCCTAGCTAAGGGCTTCCACTTAGCTCTGGGGCTGCAGGTTGCAGGTTGCAGGTTGCAGGTTGCAGGCTGCAGACCTAGCTTGGGGTCAGTTTACCCAGACCCCCAGTTCTCCTGCTTCCTGTGAGACTTGTACACGGATAATTTGAGTGTACCTAGAGACTGCACCCCTCACGGTCCTCACTGCCCACAGCAGGCAGCCAGCATGGGCCCTGGCGGGGCGGGAGGTACCTCCAGATCTCCTGTGTGAATTGTTTATTGCTCATGGCTTCAAGACATAGCTTTGGGTTTGCAAAAAATGAAATGATGTCTTAGAAAACGTCAAATATGAAACAGAGAGCCACACAAACCCTACATGAAGTGCCAGGTGGACTTTACATAGTGCCCGTACCCATATGGCAGGTGAGGAGACCGGCCACCTTATTACCGTATAGGGGCTGTGAACAGACTTCTATTGGTGGTGGCTTGTTTTTCTGCCTAGCTGCTGGCCACCTCAGGTATGTGGGTAGCCATGCCGTACAGGTTCACACAGAAGCAAGCTCTCCTTGCTTCAGTGTGTTTTGTTGTGTGAGCATACAGCTGCACTGTCTTCTCTTGCTGATTGAGCTGGTCTGACTTCACAGGTGATCTCTGACCTTGGGGATTTGAGGAAGCTCATGGGAGTTTAAATGAGGGTGGCCCATCTCATAGGCTCATATATTTGAAGGCTTGATCCCCACATGGTAGGATTAGGAGGTGTGGCCTTGTTGGAGGAGTGTGTCTCAGGGTGGGTGGGATTTGGGGTTTCAGATGCCTATAGACATTCTCAGTAAGCTCTCGCTACATCTCTAGTATCATGGCTGCCTGCTGCCAGATGCCATTGGCTCTTCACTGGACTTCACCAAGACCTAGGCTCCCTAGGCAAGTGATGGAAAGGAACTAAGAGATTCAGAGAGACAGAGAGGTCCTCCAGGACCACACAGCTAGAGGAGGCAGAGTATGTATCACTTAGAGGCTGTCCTTTTAGCACTCAGTGAGCAAGCACAGAGGCCTACAGGTCACAGGAGTATGTGTGCAGGTTCCCCTGCCCTTTACCCTGGAAGTGGCGGCCAGCTTCTGTTCTACACTGGCAAACAGGCTGGTGGACATCTTGTCTTGCTGCCTCAGGCGTTGGTGGAGCTGCAGCAGGGCCGCCAGCTGGGAGCTGCTGGTGTTGCTCGTGGCCGTGAGCAAAACCTTCCGCATCATCTCTGAGGCTGAGCAGCTCTGAAGCAGAGCAGAGAAGAGTGGTGTGTGCTGTGTGGGAGGGCAGCGGAGGGGAACTGGGACGTGAGCGAGCATCGAGGAGTCTGTGAGAGTCATCCTCTGTTGGACCCCTGTCGAACCAGGTATCAGTACTATGCCAGCCCTTTGTTTGGAGTCTCAGTATGTCCCACCATGGAGACTCGGTGCGTGTGTGTTTGTGTGTGTGTGTGTGTGTGTGTGGTGGGGGGAGAGGTGGTGGTGAGCACAGCATGTATTCAAAGAACAGGTACATGGCTGGCTTCCATTACTTGAGGACTAACTTGGCCTGAGGCTCAGAAAACAAGGAGGATCTCTTCTTTCAACCACAGGGCCACCCCTGTCTTGTCTAATGGAGAAAACATGGCTGGCTGGTACTAAGGCACTCCTACTCCTGGGGTGACAGTCAAGGGCCCTTTTAGAGATGGACAGAGGAGGCCTATACCTGTGACAGTGTCAGGAAATGGCAGGTGGTTATGGGGTCCAGGTTGCCAATGCATTCCACCATCTCTAAGCTGGCAGTGGCTGCAATGTCCAGAAGGTTGTTGCTCAGGGAAGTCTGTATACACTGCAGCAACACCTCTGATGCCTGAGCCAGGAACTTCTGGGCCAGCGTTACCTTCTTCTGTGGGCAGTGCAAAGTTCAAACTAAGGTGGGCTCTTCAGGCAGAGGCCACCAGGGGACAGGTAGGGAATGCTTCATACCTTCAGACCCTCAGCCTTCCGGCTTTGCTCCTTGGGGGCTTCCTTATAGATTGTTGAGTTCCTGGAGGAGGTGTCTACACTCCTGTCCTCTGTGTCCGTCTCCAGCGATTTCAGGCTGTTCTGTTTAGTACCTCCCTACAGGGCACAGCACACGATAGAAGGCATTTGTGGACTCCTGCTTGGTTGGCAGGGAAACCACAGCTGCCAGGGAAGCGAAAGACGGTACGAATCAGTGGCCCTTCAAGTTGTAAGTCATCATGTAATACTGAGCATGAGCCGTGTGTTTGTGGAGCCAACGGTGTTACCAATGTGGTGGGAAGAAGGAAACAATCACTCAACGGTCCACACACAAAGTAGGAGAAAAACCAGCTCTACACAGATGGCCTGCGGACCCTGGCCCTGACATCTGGGGAAGTCACCACTCACACTTTGCCCAAGTGTGTCAGTGCTACCAAGACCCACCAGGTCCTGTCTACCAGCAGCCTTAACAGATCCCCAAGGACAGAGATCATCTGTGAGAACAGGCTAGCACTCAGGAACAGAAGATGTCTGTGACAACACGACACTCTCAAAGTCAGACCAAAAATCCTTAGAGCCGTCAAGCCAACCAGGGAAGAAATCTCATAGTGATGTTTGGGAAACCCATAAACAAACTCAAGAGGATGAAAGTTCTACACATTAAACTTAGGAAGCTTCATGGAAATGGGCCAAAAGGAAATATCCCATCTGAAAAACAAGAAGGAAGCTTGGAAGAGAGACAGAGAGCTTTGGTGTCAGGAAGCTGCGAGCAGCAACAGGCCACATCTAAGGAAACAGAAAAGGAACAAACATGGAGGTAGGCAGGAACTGCAGGGACTGGGAGGAAGCAGGTGTGTTTCCTGGAACCTCCTGAACTCCACACAGGGGTCACTGCATGTCACAGCTATCTTACAGCTGAAGACTCTAACTGAGGACAGACGGGGGGGGGGGGGTGCTCATCCTTCTGGATTGAAAGTCCCTGAGTCTGCTACCTGTGCAGATGCTACAAACACCTGCTCACCAAGGGCCCCAGCTCCATCTGCTCAGCCAGCTTGGGTCTTCCTGGTCTCCTGCTGTCTATAGCCTGGGAACTAGCCCAGGGCTTCGGAGCTAGCTGGCTGGGAGTTTCCCTGGGGTTTGAGTCCTGGGCATGGCCTGCTACAGTGGGTTGTGAGGGTTCTTGCAGGAGCTTGTCTGCTAGGCTTCTAGCTTGTTCATTGAAGCTGGCACCATCTTGGAGTAGAAGTGTCTCTGTTCAGGCTCTTAGGATGGGGACTCAGGGAAAGACAGGCTTTCAGGAGCTGTTGCTAGGGATCCGAGTTGGATAGTTGTTTCTGTCAGAGAACCCCAGCCCTAGAGGAGGGTGGGCCTGGGAGGAGCAGAGGAAAAGGTGGCATTTTCCCTTTTTAGCGATTTCCAGGGCTGTGTGATATGTAAGAGGGTTACAGAGGCAGACAACACCCATCCTGGTGCATCATAGCATGGAGGTCAACACCCAGGGCATAGAGTGTACTTCGGGTAGTGCGTGAGCTTTCTCAAGCTCCCAGGGACCTGTGTACAACCAGACACAAGTGACCAAGACAGAGAGATGCCAGGGCTAGACTTTCCCTAGCTAAACTGGTGAAACATCTTTTACCTCCCAACTCTACAGCTGAGGCAGAGAATTCAGAGAATACCTACCAAGAGTTCTTCCTCCCAGCAGAAGGAAGGATACACCGGATCTATCTGCACGGACAGGAGATGGAGAGCCTTCCCAGCCAGCATCAGGAGCTGGGCACGGATGTCTGTGCAGCCCACACATAGTGGCTGCAGACTCTCCAGCTGTGTTAGCACCAAGTGAGGCAGGGTCCGCTTCAGGAAGAACCATTGCTTTGGGAAGACGAGGAGGTATGTCACCAATGGCTCTCATGTCACCCCTGCCCAGTCACCCAAAGATCTCAGATAACTTCCTAGCAGGGAACATCTGGGTACTTTGACGTATGTCCTTTTTCTGTGAGTCCTGTGTGGTAGCATGAGGGTGTGTGTCTAGGACTTTGACAATGGAAGGGTCATATAAGTCAGCTTCTATTACTACAAAGGAGAGCCCGCTGATAAATAAAGGTTAAGGGTAGGATGCATTTATGTTCACCTTGACTTGTTTCATGGCATTTAAGAGAATGGAAAAGTGCTGGGGCTACACTTACGCTGGTGGAGCACTTGCCTAGGGTTCTGTCCTAGGATTGCCAAAAGAAGAAAGAAGGAAAGAAGGAAGGAAGGAAGGAGAGAGTAGTAGAGAGAGCACGAAAGAGCAAGAGAGAGAAAAATAGAGAGTAGAAGAAGGGTTTTCTTCCACAAAGGTATTCAGTTACTCAACTTGTTCTGTTTGCAGCACTGGGAGGAAATGGGGTTCAGTGAGGTAGGGGGGATGAGCTAGGCAAGTACTCTGAGCTGCATGCCCAGTTCATGGTTTTTCTAAGACAATGCAATTGACAGTTATCAGCCCTTTATCATGAATAGTAACCCCAAGGCCTTCGAATGGGAGCTTAAAGCCTACACAGGAAGCCCCTTCACCGTTAGTTAAGTCTTCTTGGTGATCAGACCATGCCTATCTGCACCAAGGTGTGGGAGTGGTCAAGAGCTGCCATGGCATGTAGTGGGGGTCCCATAGATTGGCACCCTGCTTTTAGTGTGGCTGGCGGGCCCCCGGGAAAGATGAGTTAAGGCTGTCTGCTATTACCAAGCCGATGGATGAGAAGTCACTGGTGCTCTGAAGGAAGTCTGCTAGTAGCTTCTCAAAGGAGCCCTGCTCCATCTGCAGCTCCAGGGCCTCCTTGCACACGATCTGCAGCATGTCCAGACATGTTTCTGCCAGGCTGAGCTTGAGGCGGGCCAGCCTCCTCATCAGCGGGGAGTTGATGTTCTGCAACTGAGATAGTGGGGAGGTGGGTAAAGCAAGGCACACTTCCTGGGGAGACCAACCATTGGCAAGTTCTTTGGCAAGGCACCACCAACATCTCACAGACAGCACAAAGCGTACAATGGCTACATTTTCACACAGCAGTAGAGGCCAGACATCATCAATGCAAGAAAAAGAATGTCGTCTTCACACTCTGGATTTCCTTGTGTCCTTTCTTGAGCCTGTGTTGACAGCAGGCTGTTCCTTGCTCTAAGTTACTCCATGTTGTATACAACAGTGGCTTTTCAGGCTAGACCCTTGTCCCGAAAGACTCCCATTTCATAAGCAGCTTTGAAGGGTAGCAGATAATTGGGCTGCACCCACAAACACCACCATCTGTCTGATACTACCCATGCAGCATAGACCGATAAATGGATTATTCCTGGGAGAAAGGGACCATCCTATACAATTACTGGAGTGAACTGAGACCATGGTGGGGCACATGGGTGTATTTCATATTAGGGAAACTAGGGCCAAGGCCCTCACCTGGCCCTTGTAAAGTGACCGGCACCTAGCACTGTCATGGCATGGTCCCCCACCAGTTTATCATCTGACACCAGGTGTGTTGTGCATCAAGGACTCACGGGTGAAGAATTTCTGACTCTTCTTGGGGCTTCTGCCTCTGCTCAGTCCCCCACTGTTGATATAGCTGACTCAACAGCCGTCTCTGCTTGTCTACCTGCTTGCCCATTCAGACCTGAACCTGCCATTCCTGCTCTGACCTGATTCTGCCCTCTTACCTCTGCAGCTGACTACATTTTTTCTCTCAACTATGACTCTTCCTCAGCCTTACCTCTACAGAAACAGCTTCTTCTTTTCCTTATCAGTGTAGACATTGCTTGAATTTCTCTCAGCCCGCCTCCGAAACCTCAAGAACCCTGCCGTAGCCTCTTTAACTTGTATTCATTCTGTAACCCACACATGTGTACATGCATTTGTACAGACATATGTATTTACTGTGTGCTGTGTGTTATGGGAGCTAATATTAGTAATTGAGATTGCAAAACAAGAACCCGGATTTGCCTGGCCCAGATTACTAAAGCAGGCGTGATAATCTGGCAAATTGCTGTCGTCGTTAAAGCTCTGAAACATTGTGAACTTATTTTTATTCAGTAAATCCTCACATTGTAAAAAGACACGAGTGTGTTTGTCCTTGTTTCTGGCATAGCATGCTCAAGACATCCTTCCTGTCTCTCAAGTGACAACTGGCTGCTTTGTGGTGTGGTAAGCCAGCTTTGTCTAAATGGCGGCATATGGTATGTGCCTCTTGTCTGTCTTATCACGGTATGGTTACGACTCATCCATATGATGTTTGTCTTCTCGTGTGTCTGGTTTTCCACACATTGGAGAAAATGTCTCTTCACATCACTTGCTCATTCTTAACATTTCCCCGTCAGTTTTGAGAGCTCTTGATGCATTCCTGACACATTGTTGCTATCAAGGAATACAGTTTGCAAGTGTTTTCTACTGGCCCGTGCTTTTTCACCTTCCTCTTGAGAATATGTTTTAAAGGGAAGATCTATTTATCAAGCTATCCTTTTATTGGATCATGTTAGGTACATTTCTTTGCCAAGTATGTCATCACTAAGGGATTTTCCTAGGTGTTCTAGTATAGTCTTAGGCCTTTGGTTTAGGTTTCTGATTCATATGGGGTTGCTTTCTTAGTCTGAGGTGTGAGCAGTAGTTCAGGTTTTTGGGCATGCATTTTTTTGTTGTTGTTCTAACACCATCTAAAGTCTGTCCTTTGTCCATGGAGCTGTGCCTCTGTTGAAGACTTTGTGCATCTCTTTATTTCTGGATTCTCAGGTTTGTCCCGTTGGTGGTCTGTCGGTCCACTTTCCAACTAACCACACTCTGTCTTGATTGCTGTAGCTCTTTAATAGGATTTAAAGTCAGGTACTGCTGGGCTTCTAATTTTAGTCTTCTTTTTCAAATTTATATAGGCTCTTTTAGACCTTCTATATTTTGAAATAATATTGTCAACATCTGTTAAAAAGCCTATGGTAGGATTGTGGTTTAGGAAGAACCAGCATCTTAACAGAATTTGGAGATTTTCGTTTTCATATATTATTATTTTTATTATTATTATTATTATGTCTTTTTCATTATTCTTGGCAATGTTTTATTGTCCTTGGACTACAAGCATTCATATTTTGGTGGTCAAATTTCATCTTTAAGAGTCATAAATGATGCCATTTTAATTTTAATATATAATTAATTGTTCTTTGGGTAGAAATATATGCACCATATAATCCTGAAACTCAACTAAACTTGCTCATTAACTTTAATTTAGCTTGCTTGTAGTTTTTATTTTTGTATAGCACATGATTTTCTACATAATCATGCTATCTATGAAAAAGAATTTTCCTTGCCTGCTCTTTCTATCGATCCGGATGCTTTTAATTTATTTTCTGGCTTATTGCATTGGCTAGAATCTCCAAAACAATTCTGAATAAAAGTGGTAAGATGCCCATCCTTAGGGATGGAAGAATCAATAAGTCTTTCACCAGTAAGCATGGTGTCATGTTAGCTGTGTTCATGTGCAACTGTTTGTTTGTAATGTCTTTAACCTTTTTGTTTCTCTCTTGAGATAAGGTCTATGTAGCCCTGGCTGTCTTGGAGCTCACCATATAGACCTGGTTGGCCTGGAATTCACAAATATCCTTTTTCTTCTTCATTCTGAATTCTGGAATTAAATGTCTGTATGACCATACCCTGCCTTATCTTATTTTCGAGTTATACTGGCCTCATTGAAAAATTACCATTTACTTCTTCCCTTTCAACTTTCTAAAATAACCTTCCTGGAAGTACTACTTTTTAAAAAAAAATTTTGGTAAAAAAAAAAATCAGCAGTTGCTCTGTCTGGGCTTCCATTTGCATTGTGGTAAAGTGTTCGATTACAGACTCACCTTCCCTCATTCAGAATGTCACAGAGCTATTTTGTTCTGAGTGAGCATTACAGGTGAGGATCTATTTCACACAACTTGTAAAAATCACATGTCCCTCACTATTCTTTGAACATAAGAGGAAGCCATGCCAGGGCTGGGTCACTCATTTCCAGTATTTGGCACTAACATCCTTTACAGACCATCTGGTCAATCCAACTCAGTTTACCAACTGATCTACCTTAACGGGCCAGCTTTGGCTTCAGTGGCTTTCTCATTTAAGCAGCTTGAATTCAGCTCAGAGATTGCTGTCTGATGCCTGAGGTTTTGGAAATTGGATTTTGTTTGGTTTGGGGGTTATTTTGGATGAGAAGGTGAGTTTATTTCATTGATTTTTTTTTTTACTCCATCTTTAATTCCTATTCTACTACTAATTTTGGATTCAGTTTGCTCATTGTTTTTAGGGAAAAGGCTGAGCCCACTGATTTCTAGCCTATTATCATTATTATTCAGGCATTTAGTGCACTGGATTGCCCCCTAAGCACCAACTGGCGACATCTTAAACTTGATGTTCTTTCCTTCCTTCATTTCAAAACGATTTCTCTTCGACTTCTTCTGTGGCTGTGTTCTACTTACATTCCAAATATTAGGGGTTTTCCATACACACAGTGTTTTCTTTCTTAATTTGAAGTAAAAGCAACACAACATAATTAACACATTTGACGTGTGAGACCTGGAGAAGTGGCTCAGTGGTTGAGAGCACTGACTGCTCTTGCAGAGGTCCCGGGTTTGATTCCAACACCCATGTAGTGGCTCACAACCATCTGTCACTCTAGTTTCAAGGGATCTGACATCCCTTCTGACCCACATGGACACCAGGCATGCACATAGTGCACATACGTACTTCCAGGTAAAGCTCTCATAGACATAAAAGAAAATAAATAAATCTAAAAACTCAAAGCATGCGAAGTTCAGCAGCACATGATGAGTCTGCAGTGTGGTCCAGTCATGGTTGGTTCATCTCCCAAACACTGTCGTCATGCTTCAAGAAAGCCCATATGCTAGCAGCCATTCCTTATTCCTCACCTTGTCCCCCAGAAGCCATTTGTCTGTTTTATGTGCCTGTGGACTTTTCTACTCTACTTTCTGGTTTTGATGCCCAATATAATTACATGTGGGGACTAATATATCCTCTGTATGATCAAATTTATTGAGACTTGTCTTATGGTTCAGAGTATGGCCTGTGTCAGAAGACATTCCACATGTGTGTGAGAGTGTTATCCCATTGTTGCTGAGTGAAACATTTAAATAAAATGTCTATTATTATAAATAAGGAGTAGGATACTAAATTTGTTGGCTCTAATAGATTTAGCAGTTTTTTAAGATCAGTGTTTGGTTCTTAAGTATTTTAGAACTCTCTTAATATGATATTGCATTTAGATTAGCTTTCTTCTCGCTTGGCTAGGATACACAACGGAATGAATATTATCATTCCTGGTAATGTTTGCTAGGAAGCCTGGTTGCTTGAAGCTAACACCCACAGTCTAGCTATCTTTTTGATCACTATTAGTATGGAATATTGCTTCCAGCAATTTACCTTAATTCTATCTGTCTTTGTCTTTATGTTCATAATGGCTTTCTTGTAGGCATCTCACAGTTGGGCTCACTTCCTTACTTAATGCCAAATTCTGAGGTCAAGCCCTCTGCGCACTCTGTCCATCACCTCAAAGTCCTGGAGCCTTCTCCCTACCACCTCATGACTGCCAATAAGCTCCAATGGACTTCCTGTAATGCTTCCAGGCTGTTTTTCCCCGTCCTTGGGCTGCTTCCTTCTGTCATGAACAGGTGACAGTCTTTAGATGAGTACTCTTGGTTGTCCTCTAGACATCTGTGAGCAGCGCTCTTCTTCCTGGGGATCCATCTTGCCTCCTTCTCCCTAGTCTCCCAGGACCCGATATCCTTGACTCAGGTCTTCATCTTGGCTCTAACCTGGCTCCATCTCTGCAGCCACAGCTAGCTGGAACTTAAGCTTGGAATTCACTAACTGGCATGGTTGATATATGACATTTGGAAAATCCTTGTTTTTTATATTTTGTCTGTTTTTTTAAAAAAATGTTTTGTGTGGGTGCATGAGTCTAGTTATCTGTGATTCTGTTTTAGCTTCTATGTATATCAGGTGCTTTGTGTGTACACATACGTGTGTGTGCATGTGTCTGTATATGTGTGTGCATGCTCAGTGCAAATGTGTGAGCCCATTCATGTGGAGGCCAGTGGACAGCCTCAGGTGGTGTTCTTCAGGAACCATCTACCTTGTTTTGTGCGACACTGTCTCTTGCTGGTTTGGACTTTGCCAAGTGTACCCGATGCTGGTGAGCCCAGGGATACACCATCTCCTTTTCAGTGCTGGAGTTATAAGCACAAGCTACCATATCTACTTCGTTTTGTTATATGGGTTCAAAGGTTCTAGGGGTAAAAGATGAGCTTCTCTTCTATACAAGAGTATTTCCAGCTTCTGGGCAGGTTTGGCAGGAGGGTGCTGAGGTCCAAAGTGGGAAAGACAGAGGCCCAGTAGGTCCAGAGAACATATGCAATTTCTTGACTGAACTATGTTCCCAGTTCTTCTTTATATGGGTTTTGTGAAAATGTATATTGATTTATGTATTATGAAAATATATAGTGGTGTGTGTGTGTGTGTGTGTGTGTGTGTGTGTGTGTGGTTTTATATGATTGGATCTCACTGGGTAGCCTAGGCTAGCCTGGAACTCTGCATACTCCTGCCTTGGCTTCCCAAGTGCCAGGATTACAGGTGTGCTACACTGTGCCTGGCTGGTTTTGTTTTAAAATCAGATCTGTCAGGCAGTGCTGTCCTGTACACAGAATGACTGGGGTGTGCAGGCCCAAACTTACATCTTGAAGGGACAGTATCGCCTGGATTCTGTGAAATAGTTCTTCTTCCTCAGATATAGCTTTCTGGGACAGTGAGTACATTTCCAGATAGTAGGCAGTCCTTTGTTCCTCATCTTTTTCCTTTTCAGCACTTAACCTTTATATAATATAAAAGTAGGGTTTAGAACAAACATTCAAAAGCCAAATAATATATTGTATTCATACATGTTATACTGATTAATATGTAATACATAATTTCACATAATTATGCTATATATTTTATTAGTACTTAAAATTTTTGCAGTTAAATGTTTTACACATGAAGGTATTTTTAATACATTGTATTCATTTTCAATGTGCTTGTAGAATTGTTCATTTATGTGCACAGGTACACATGTGTACATGTGTACATGTGGGGGTCAAAGATCAACCCAGGCACTATTCTCAGATGTTGTCTACCTTTCTCTGGAGACAGGATCTCTCACTGGCCTAGGACCCACCAACTGGGCTAGACTATCTAGCTGGCAATCCCCAGAGATCCGCTTGTCTCTGTGACCCCAGTACCAGCATTACAGATGTATTCCACAGTACCTGGCTTCTTTATATGGGCTTGGGGGATTGAACTCAAGTCTTTGTACTTGCAAGCAGGTGGCTTATCAACTGAGTCATCTCCCCAGCCCTCTAAATACATTTTAGAACAAGATACCAGACATTAGAACAGCATACTGTGTGCAGTGCAAAATTTCATTTATAAAGGATCTCTGGCCAAAAGGTGTCTGATGAAGCAATGCCCCAGCTTCCACCTGCCGACTCAGGTATCTATTTTCCTACCTTCTTGGTGGCCCACAGTGGCTGCTACAGTACACCTGTGGTAATGGATGCGACCTGGGTGTTGGCTGACCCTAAAGGCATCATGTCTAAGAGGCTTGTGGGTGTCTGGGGCAGGCAGAGGCACTGTGAGGAGCATTGGGGGCTGGAGTGGGAGGAGAGCTGCATGCTAACTGGGATGCATAGCTGTAGTAGCAGCAGGAACAGGTGCTGGGGACCCTGCAGGATGGGCAGTGATGGGTTAGCAGGGAGGTAGTTGGGCAGGGAGCTGGGCTTAGCCATCTTTGAGGCTGAGGACGAGCAGAAGCTAGCTGGGAGAGCTCAGAAGTAGATCCTACTCAGGAGCAGGCCCTCGGGCAGCTCCAGTGGCATGGGTGGAGTGTGGTGACACCCTTACCTCTTTATCCTTGCATGTTCCAGTTTTAAGTCAACATAATTTTTGTGGTAGCCACCAAATATAAAGTTTTCTTCAACTTCCAACAGGTGATCTTCTAGTTCTCTCAGCAAAATTGGGTACGACTTAAGTTCTTTGCCAATCAGGTCGCAGGCAAATCGGATTTGAAGTGTCACACACCTGCTAGACAAGTGTGTCCTCAGGATTGTGGGCTTGAAGCTTTGCCCACCAGATTCAAAAACTCAAGACCACAGTGACCCTCCTTCTGCCCAGGTCCACCCTGGGACACTGAATCAAGTACCAATGCTGCCCCCACCAAGATGGGCATAATGCAGCCAGGGCCCTGGATCAATAAAGTTACAATCTAACCAGCCCCACCCAGGTATCAGATTTGCCAGTGGAAAACCATTGATGAAATGAGACTCAAATCGGGACCTATTGATGAGGCACAGTGCTCACAGCCCTTTCCAGAGAGGAACCAGGAGCAGGAGCAAGGAAAGGATCCCTGTAACTGTTGTCAGCGAGCTCAGAAGATCTCTGGCAAAGGGCCTTGAAGACTATGAGTGATGCGTGTGGAAGAAGAGGGCTTTCCTGACAGCCCTCCACAAGGGGGCAAAGCTCAGAGGCTCCAGGAGCCATAGGAAAGGCACTGTGGAAGTGTGGGCTGGTTGGTAAGGGAGCCCACAGCTCCTCTGAGGCACATAGTGGAAGGAAGGCCTGATACTCAGAGGGACCTGTGCGGACACACAGACATATAAGCTGCACAGAGCAGGGGATGAACTCATGGTCCTGGTAGCTCTGAGCCTTCCTGGGTTTGACATGTGTAGCATGAGAGAAAATGTGTGGTAGAAGTGGCCACAGATTTGGTGCACCTGGCACCATTACCTGGCCTCTAGCTCCATGATGAAGAATTCCAGCAGGGAGACTCTGTTCGGCCTTTCGTTCTGGAGGGCCCTGAAAGTATCTATGAGTTTCTGAAACAGGCCACAAACCTGGGCATGGTGATCACATGTTATTATGTCACTGGTCAGCACATGCCCCCCCCCCCCGTGACATGCACCCCCCCATGTTGTCCACTGGCTACCCCAACTCACTGAGATTTCTTTTCCTTCATCTTCGGAGGATAAGATTGCCTCAGCCAGAGTCAGGGTTGAACTGTACCAGAACTCCTCGGATCCGCCTAGCTGCTGGGCCCTCTCAACCATGAACATAGCCTGCCCATGGTTCTTTTCCCTGTTGGCCAGATCTGCTAGAAGCAACAGGCACTGTGCTTCTGCACAGGTATAGCCTAGCTCCTAAAAAGAGGGATGCAGGATACGTGATGGGTTGATGGGGGGCTAGCTCCACTCAGGTTGGTATGGCCACTACATGGGAGTGGAATCCTCCGGAATGGAAAGTGTGCCCTGGGAGTCACAGGGGCCAGCCTGTGCAGGGTTCTCTCTGCTCACTTTACCTACATACTTGCTCCCTCCCTATTCTTCTACATCTTTTCCTTCCCTGCTGTCTTCCCAGCCCCTTCTTCGAAACCTGCACTTCACGTCCCTCTTCAATACACTTGTCCCATCTCTGGCACTTGCACCTTTGTATCATCCCTGACATCTACACAGCTGTACCCCAGCACCTGCATATCTCTGTCCCAACCCTACTACTTACCTGTCCCCTCTCTGGTACCTGAATCCCTGCTCTCACTGTATGGGCCAGAGCCTGGGCTCACAGCTTTCTGGGGTTACTCATTTTCCCATCATTGCTGGAGCTTCATCTTTTCCTTGAATGGCTCAGAACAAGCCACAGGCTGGTTGTGTCAGGGCCATGATCTCATTGACCCACTGAAGGCAATTCTAAGTCTGTCTGACGGGGGTTGTTCGAACTACGAAGATTGGGACTTGGGAGAATGGCATCATTAGAGCAGACAACACAAACAGCTTCTTCCATCCACACTGTCCAAGGTCAGCTGTCTGCTGGGGACACAGTCCAGGATAGAAAAGCCCTGCCAGGTGTAGTTTGGAACTTCTAGGGTTGAGACACAAAGGGGCAATTTAGGGAGAGAGTGGGCACTTGGTCCCAGGTCTGGGTGCAAGTTCCTCTAGTAGGCAGCTACTCAGAGAAGAGTAGCCAGTGCTTCCAAGCTGACAGAGAGCTGGGCTCCGAGCAGTGCTCTGTGGAGGGATGCTAACTCAAGTCTTTTGGGGGAACTCAGTGGAGACTCTGAGAAGCCACAGATGCTCCTGAAGACCTCAGATGAGGAGTAAGGATACATCTGAAGAGTTCAGGCCCAGGTCAAGATGGCTTCAGTGGAAATAGGTGAGATGTCTTACCTGGAAAGCTTGTTGGGCCTCAGACAGGAGCAGCCGGGCTGGTTGGTGCAGCTCCAACTCCAGCAGGACCTCCCCTTTGAGCATCCACAGCTGGGGGTAGGATGTCCCTTCCAGGCCCTTGCCGGTCTCTCCATTTACCTTCAAAATCTATGAGATACCATGACCTTAATATGCTTTGTGCCCAGTGTGTGTCCCACAGGGTACACGGCCATAGGGATGTCCCCAGCATGCCTTCAGCCTCTGCTTGTCTAGCTTATGACACACCCCAAGCCTTTGGGACCTTTGGTCTCTCCTTATTTACTCCAATTCTCTCACTACTGGTTATAGCAACTGCTGAGCTGCCTGGCTTGACAAGCCAGCATCCCCTCTGTGAAGTGAGCTGGGAAGTGTTGTGAGGCTGGCAGGCCTGCCTTTGTGTACAGCTGTGCTTGTCTCTCCTTTCCCAGTACGCCCAGCAGCATACCCCACTTCCATTGTGGATGGGTCACTGGGTCCTGGAAGCTGAGCAAAGTGCAGGATTGATCCTTGGCTGTTCAGCGTTCAGATCCCATTCACAAACCCCATGTGGAGCACACTCCACCACACTCCAAGTGCTGGCTTTAATGGGCCCACAAACAGAGCCGGCACTCTGAGGAACCAAGGTTCTCTGTGATGGCTACTATCTCATCTGTTCACAGACTGAAGGGGACATCCAGCTGGTGAGGAGAAAGCAGGGGCTTCAAGAGTCAAGCCAGACCTTCTTAGACAGACTCCGCTCCACAGAGAACCTCTCTCCTTTTAGCACCCCTTGTCTGAGCCCAGGCCCGAATCACTGGTAAGCACTCACCAGCTACACTCGTCTCTAGCCAGCTGATTCTTTAAGCAGATGCTCAGACCCCAGGTGACCTGTCTTACATATACTTTTTGCCTCCCCTGAGGAAATCCAGGGGTTTAGGGAGGGACAAACATGAGCTGGTCTCTGAGTCTCCCATACTTAAGTGTATACAGTAAGCACTTCACCAATCCACTCTGGCATGCTGACTCTTGGGGCAATTCTACGTGAAAGCCAAGTTAATGTCATCTCTGGGTTTCAGATTGTGCTGTGGCAGAGCCATGCTAGGGCAGCATCATCTCTAGCGCATGGATTCCACCGTGGCAATGCCAGGCTAAGTCAATGCCAGCTTTAGTCTATGGATCCCTTGGGGCAGTGCCAGGTTGAGTCAGTGTCACCTCTGGGCTATACGGATCCCTTGGGGCAGTGCCAGCCTACCTTGTCTTGTGCTATCAGTGGCTTCACCTCTTCAGAGTGTGACGGGGTCAGCTGCTCATGCAGGGCTGGCACGCTGTCTTCCACCACAGGTTCCTTGTTCTTCTCTTTTTTAAATGCAATCTCTTTTCTGCAGCTAGTTGAAGTGAAACAGTGTCATGTAACAGAAGACTTGCAGTGGCTGGTAACAATGGGCAGTCTCACTTATGGTCAAAGAAATATAAGTTAACCCAGCCAAGAGAAGCCATGTTTCACACATGTCTACACAAACCAAACCAGTCTCTAGCTGGGCAGCAGTCTGGTTCCCAGAACCGGATCCTGCAGCCTGTTCTCTCTGTAACTGTCTGACAAGCTGCTATGTAGTTTAATAAGATTCTCAAGCTTAATTTGTGTAGAGCAGACCTGCCTCTGACAACCTCTTCAGAAAGGTAAAACTGCTTAGTGTGCAGGGTTTCCTATAGAGCAGTGGGGTGGCTCCTCCACCCATGGATCCTCCTCCTTTCTCACCACCTACCCCAGACCCGAGTCATCCACCATACCACACCCAGAGTAGTCAACTGGGAGGTGGGCCAGTGCACCACAGTGTTTAGCCCAGTGTGGACATATTCTTGGTCACACTAAGGTTCTTGCCATCAGGGAATCCAACATTTCTACCCCAGTGCTGACACTCCACAGATCTTGCTCACACCAACTGCCCAGGACTCTCTGACTACAGGCAGAACTGAAGCCTCTCTGGATCCCCAATCCTGGTATCATCATCGGCACAAACCCCTCTTGTCAGTCTGAGTCATCCTTCTTCCTCCAGAGCCCACCTGTAGAGTCACTCACCTTCAGAGTCCCCACCTGCAGAGCCACCCACCTGCAGTGCCGCCCACACACAAAGCTGCCCACCTGCAGAGCCACCCACCTACAGAGCCCCCACCTGCAGAGCCACCCACCTGCAGTGTCGCCCCTACTGTATAGCAGGTGCTCTGAGTAAACCAGAGAACAGGGAGAGGCGGGAGGATCTCCCAGCCTTGGCAACTGCATTTCTGGAACCTGTCTGAGGGCAGGGAGGACTCAGCAAACACTCTCACAGCCAGTCCAGGGAGACACAGATAAATGGTTGTTCTAACAGCATAAGAATGATTTTTGTAGACAGACACTTGTTGCCATAGGCTGCAGAATGAAATAAGCACGGCCAGTAGACTTACATGTTCATAACTGACCAGGTGTGGGAGAGCAAAATCCCAGAGGGGATTACTGTGAAGGGACGGGGCCTGCAGTGACATTGATTCTCTTCCTTACTTGTTTTCTAAAGTTTACACAAAGGTCATATAATTTATATATCAAGGTGGGGGGGGAGCCACGTTGCAGAAATGAACAATGATAGGACTATGTATTCATTCTTATGTATTAGGTTGTCTCTAAGTCCGAAAAGGATTGCTACAGGAACTCTGATCGGCTAATTTAACTGTTGAACAGCCTACTATCAGCTAAGTACAAGTGTTTCAGAGCGACCCAAGACCCTAGAACCAAAACTGTGCCTCACTCCTCAGCACACTCCTGGCATGCTGAGGGAGGAGGCTGGGACTGAGGAAGGACAGCCTTTCCCCATCTTGACCCATTACCCTTCTTTTCTCCGATGAAGCACCCACCGGCTCAGCAATCCCCAAACCTGTCATGAAAACCATGCAGGAGACCCACATGTTTCTCTATGCACTGCCCTCCTAGTGTTGCTCAGTAGAGATTGCCCCGGGCACCTCCAGGCACCAGACTGAGGAGCCAGTAGTCACAATGTTTCTGGAACTGAGAGGAGAGACACAGCCAACCTAGGGTTTTCTCAGAGCTGTCCTTTACAACCCCTGGATTGTACCTTGCTGGAAGGAGAGGTCCCATACCCAGGAGCAAGTGCTGCACATACCTGGCCTGCTCCATGTCCCCGAAGTATGCCTGTCCAATCACCTCTTCATGATGAGTTGCTGCGTAGTGCAACCTCAGATCAGAGCACACCTGTAAAAGTCTGAAGGGTTGGGAGGTGGGGAGTGGGAAAGGAGGAGGCACCGTCTCAAAGGATGCTGTCCAAAGGAAGCGGTGCTGGACTTGTTGCTCTTGATCAGAGTGGCTAAACTAAAAATGTGCGCGTCAGTGTTGCAGGCTTTCTTTTCTTTTTAGCTAATCCTACTCAGGGGTTCTGTAAAATTTCAGGTGACAATTTTCTCTGACATTCGCTCACATGTGTTATGCACTGTGTGTACATTTTGGGGCACCGTCAGAGGTAATAGTCAGGTGCCCTGCTGGGCTCTGCCAACCCCTGCCACAGCTTCCAGCAGGACACTCAGTCGAGGTTTTGTTTAAAGCACTTCCTTTGGACATAGTCATGCCAACACACTCACGCATTATCTGTGTGTTCCTGCTACCCAGAGAGAGCCCTGTCCTCTTCACTGCTCTCTCCTTCATTTCCCCTTTTCCTAGACCCTTGGTGAGAAGTACAATGTCCCTTGGTCCTTAAATACCTCAGTGTTCATCTCCTTAAGACAAGGCGTCCTCTAAGGATCAGGGTAAAATTTTATAATAAAGATACCATTCCAATGGTGCTGTTTGTTTTTAAATTGTTTTAGACACAGCTGTTACGTTCACCACTGCAGGGAAAGGAGGTATACCAACCGCAAGTGGTAGAGGTCTGCAAGGCTCTTGCTCTCCACCACAGCATCTGCAATGAGCACACCCAGCTGCAGGATCGGGATGCTGAGCTCATGAAGGAACATATTCTGCAAGGCTTTGGCCAAATGGTCTATGTAGTACAAACTGTAAGTCTGTATAAGCACATAAAAAATAGGTGTGGTCACAGACAGGGGTTGCACACTAGTCCCCTAGTATGATGGTTAATAGTGACTGTCAACTTGATTCAATCTAGAATCGCCTAAGAGACGAGTCTCTGGGCATTGCTTATGAGAGATTATCTAGACTAGCTTAGAGACTCTGGGTTTCTTTTGTAAAGGGTTATCTTGACTAGGTTAGTAGAGGTGAGAAGACCCATACAAAATGTGGACTAGGGTCCTGAAGTGCATAATGAAGAGAAGGCTAGGTTGGCATGACTGTTCATTGCTCTTTGCTTCCTGAATGCTGATGGATTGTGAAGAGCTGTCTCAGGTTCCTGCTGACGTGACTTCCCCACCAGGATAGACCACACCCTCAAACTGTGAGCCAAAATAAATGCTTTCTCCTTTAAGTTGCCTTTCTCAGACATTTCGGTCATAGTGGCAAGAAAGGTTAACTAATACGCCCCGCTTTGCCTGGCACAGTGCCCAGCACTCAGCAGGTCTTTAACACGTTTGTGGAACGTCCTCTTCCCTAGCCATCATTACAAGGTTTGCTTCAGTTGTCAACACCAGAGGATGGTTAAAGATCCACACAAGAGACACATCTATTAATTCATTAATTTCATGTTCCGTTTAATTTTTTCTAATTAAAACTGATGATCTTTGTGTATACTACTGGGTGTCTAGAAAAAGAAAACCAGTTAACACCTCCAGTGGTGTTGGGCTTGGTGTTGGGATGTTGGAGACTTTAGATGCGCTATATTGATCATGAGTTTCTGGTACTTGGATAGCAAACAGGATATAGAAAAGCACAGGACTAAGATCTGGAGGATGATGGTGGCCTGGTCCATGGCCACACTGCCTAGGATTAGTGTCAAGGCTTGGTGGCTCCTAACCCCCGCACACACAGATCATGTGAGATACACTAGATCTAAATCTGGATAGGCTATACAGGTGGAGAAGATTTGCACCTTGTGTGGGAATACTGTAGAGTACTACCTAGGACTTCAGAAAAAAGAAACAATGTTTTTAAAAAAGGACATGAGGAAGCACCGGTAATGGAGGAAAAGATGTCTAATTCTCATAACACTAATGTTAACACTTCTACATGGAAAACCCCATCATGGGAAGAAAGGGTTCACAAAGTGACCAGCTGTTTACAGAACTGGCAGAGTGTCCCTCTCAGAACAGGCCTGTGTGTGTTTCTTCAATTCCATAAGAAAAACAGAACATGTGCTAAATTACGGTGGTGTGCTGGCAGAAGACATGCTAACAGGGCACCCAATGTGGGAGATGCCATCGCATGGTACTAGCACTGGATGGCAAGGACGTGGACAGCAGGAGCTCTCTCACCAGGGACAGGGATGGAAGTCAGCACAGCATCCATGGGATGTGATCTGACAACTGCCAATGTTCACATCACTGAAAAATTCCCTGCGTCATGGTCCAGAAATGTGGACACCAGTGTTCACGGATGATTCCTTTCCAAAACCCACAAACACTATGTCCGTTAGAAGTTGTGCACAAGTGCACCAGGCCTGATTACTTCAGTAGACCTTGCAGCATTGGAAGGGTCTAACATAGCTGTCCCCAAACAACATGGGCAAACCCCATCAACCTGCTGACGAGGAGAAATATGCCAAACAGTTCCAAGCTCATGAAGACCCCAACCAGGCAGAAGAAAGTGGGCAGAACTATGGACTCCTAAGAGCATGGGGCCTTAATACATGGAACTTTTGCGTGTGACTTTGTGTCAAAAGGGACCAGATTGAGGCTCTGCCCAGGGTATAGCCAAAGTGTGTGATCTTGGAGGTATTTACAAGAGCTGGGCTTGCTAGAGGACTGTGTGGCCTTGGTGGTAGAGATGGGGTGTTATGAAGTATCCAGAGGGACCAAGTCTCTACTGATACTGTAATTCTTATGGTCATGGCTGCCTAGTTTGTGAAGACTTGTTCACCAGGGCTATGCTAGCAGGCAGAAGCAGTACCAAGTCGGAGCATGGGTACCTGGGGATGGATGCAGTGGGAGGATGTGGATGAGAGGGGGGCTTTGTAGCTGTGGGTGCTAAAGGTGGAAAGCTGCTCCCTTCTCACACTCACTGTGAAACTCCTACCCGTCTCCTGCATCCCTCTTTGGTGACATCTGCATGAGAAATGCTGGCTGTAGCTTTAAGGGTGGGAGGTTGAGCTTGTCAGCCCTGTGGCAGAGACCCAGCAGCTGGCTGCTCAGATCTACTCACGGGCTTCTGGAAACTTGACGAGTTGATAGTGCAGTCGCTCTTGTCTTGCTTGAACACATACAGCAGCTCCTCAGAGCAGGAGTAGGATGCCCATTCACCTATGGTAGTGGGGATATCATCAGGTGGCTTGCTGGAAGCTGGGGTTGAAATCTGCAGGGGGAAGAAAAGTAAACCGTGGAGTCCTGAGATGGATGCCTCTGTGGCCCAACACGGAGAGGACAGGCTGCCAGCCTCTAGCACAGAGTTTGGAGGTTGTGGCCTTGGGGTGGGGTTAGCATGCCTCACAGAAGGGGAAACAGAGGAACGGGGAGATCCTAACCCCCACCCCCACGTGAATGTGGTGGAGCTGGGGTTCAGGCTCCCGGATCATCCACCTCCTGCCTCAAGCGAGGAACACTCCACAAGGACCACTCACCTGCTTCATTTCTTTTGCCTTCTCTTTTTCCTTCTCCTTCTCCTTTTTGGTCAATAACAATTGTGAACTAGCTACCTGTATATTCTTTTCTGGAATTAGTTTTACTCCTTCTGTCAAGGAAATCTGGGGGTTGGGGGGGAAGGAAATTATAAATTGGGAGTATTGAAAATACAGCCTGTATCTCCCCACTTTCTGCACCTGATTGGAGATAGTTCTTAGGTCTGAGGGTGCTGCTCAGCCAGGGACAAATCTGGGAGCTTCCCCAGCATGGAGCAAGCCTGGTCCGTCACTACAGGTTTTTGTGGTGGATAGGGTAGGTTTGGGGAGCATTCTTTTCAAGGAGCCTTAAGAGCTCGAGTGTGGCAGGGCCCAGAGAGATGCGACAGAGCTTTCAGCATAGGGAAAGAAGTGGATGATGTAGGAAAAACCTGTCTGTATGCATCTCAAAGGCTTTTTACAGAGGACTTGGCAATGCTCTATCTTCTTTGGGAAAAAAATTTCTATTATAATTTCCCAAAGGAGGGGGCAGCAACAAGCACTTCAGAGTCTCTTCCCAGGGGTTGGAAGACGGGGTTGGTAGGGATCTTCCCAGCTTAGCACCACACCTCCAGCCTTCCCTTACCTGCAAAATGTGCTTGAAGAAGCCATAGGCCATCAAGCAGTCATCTTCGTAGGAAGAGGAGCTTGGGGATGCCATCAAGGCTCTCAGGATGTGCACGCGGGCCAGGGACTCCAACTGCCTCACACTTCGAAACTGGTCCAAGGAGACTGTCTCCAGATTTGAAGGCATTGTACTCTCTGTGGGAGACTGGGCAGGGGAGGTCTGCCCTGTACGGCATAGTGGGAGTGAGTCTGGGACCATGGACTGAATTAGGCTCCCGCAGGCCCAGGGATAGCGCCCCTCCTACAACACTGACCCAGCCCCCTGTCCATCATGAGACACCTAGTGATGTGCTGCTACCTGCCCTGGGCTGGAGTTTGTGCAGCAGGGCTACCTTCCACGCAGCCTTTCCTGTGTCCCAGACTTCTCTCTATCTCCGAGTCTGGGAGTCAAGGAGGCCAATTTTCTGGAAAGCAAATGGCTGACGGTCTTGGATTTGGTACCCATTCAGTGCCAAGCTAGTGTCTTGAAACCTTCACACCAATCAGAATAGTAGGCCATAGGCTGACCAGCTCTGTTTTCTTCCTAGCTAGCTTAATGTGCTATGTTCGTCTACATGGGCTAAATGCTGAGCAAGCACACAAGTGCTGACACTGTCCACTCTGTTCCTTTCCCCACTCCTAACTGCTGTGAGCTAAAATGAAGGTATGTCTGCATGGAGGACATTGGTGGCCCAGCAACAGTCCTACTATGTCCTGCTGTAAGGCCATGTGGGACCTACAGTATAGTAGGTCAGGGGAAGCTATCATGGTCACCTTCACCTTCCTTCTTGGGCTCTGGCTCGAGGGAGTCTTCAGTGGGTTTCATGGATAGCAGAATCTCGATTGCCCAATCCAGGTGGTCAAACACATCGTCCAGAGGGAACTGCTTATAATACATCCACTCACAGAACCCCACGATGTAGTCTACCTTTTGCCAGTTGTTCTCTGGCTTCTTTGGGACAAAACAGAAAAGCGTTGTGAAGTATGATACTAATCAGGTCAACATGACATGAATTAGCATGGGGAGGCCCTATAGCAGCAAGACTTGATGGCGTATGAGTCCAACAAGACTCCCTGAGGGCTCCAGCTGTGGACAGAAGTATGGCAGGAAAACAGGAGTTTGGTAAAGTCCCCCAGGTCTTCTGCACCCTTGGCAAGAACATCCTACCTATCCCACTGGCCCCTGCCTTTCCTAATACTACTCCAAGTCTCCATTATGAAAAAGGATGCTGACCAGGGCTCCCTGCAAGGCTGTCTGGCCAATTTAAAGCCTTGAATGGGAGGTCCGTGGTTAAGCCCTCTATTAAGGGCCCCATAACTCCCTCCCCATGCGTGCACAGCTTGTGTCTAAACTATCAACAGCTTCTATGGCTCACTGTAGAAAGGGGTGTCAGGGAAACGATAGCCAAAGATGTGGCATGGTATACACGTGGCCTATGACCATTTGAAAATGCAGGCCAGCCTCAAAGATGAGAGGCCCAGGGAGGCCAGGGCTTTAGTATGCTGACCTGTTGCTGCACGCTCCCTTCCCTGGCCTCTTCCTTGGCCTAGCCCCCAGGGGTCACCCACACACTTTTCAGGACCTAGAGTCATGGCCCTTTCACCTCCATAATGCTAGCAGGCCTACAGCAAGATGGGAGGCTAAGACAGGAGGATGCCCGGAAGCTTGGGGGTCAGTGACCCTGGTTATACACAGTGGATGGCCTCAAACAAGGTACAAGATGAACACTGACACATGAGGCCGCCCTCTGCCCTTCACAGGCATGCTGTGGCATGTGCACGCTCATATCCGCACACATAAACACACACACACACACATTTATACATCACTCACACACCACGTTTAAATAATAAGTAAATAGAAACAAAATTCAGGGATCAGACTCGAGGTCAGTGAACAGCAACATGTTTTTAGTGTGTAGTTGCTGACTATATTGAGTTCTCTGCCCTTCCTCTAGCGCAGCCTGGTGGTCTCCCCTTCTCAGGGGGCTGCCCTCCCGGCTTCCTCAGTGGAAGCAGGAAAACAAGAGTTTTAGTAAGGTCCCCTAGGTCCTCTGCACCTTTTGCATCCTACATGTCCCACTGGCTCCTGCCTTTTCTAACACTACTCCAAGCCTCCATTATGAAAAAGGACGCTAAGCAGGGGCTCCCTGCAAGGCAGGAAGTGACTTACTGCCCGACCCTAAAACCCAGCAGGAAAACTGAGAATGACCAGTTAGGTGGTCTACAAGAGCACAGTTCAGGGGCTCCGTTTAGCCACACACACTAGCCTCAGGTCTCTGAAGCCACAGCCAGTGCCCTGACTGAGCCTTGCACCTTTGCCGAGAGCTGCCCTGGTCCTTGCAGCATCTGGGACCTCACAAGCAGGGATGTGCTTATGGGTTGTGAAACGGACCAGCCTTCCGAGATGTCTCCTCACAGTTCAGACCTTTCAATTCAGAGGTCCAGGACACTACTTGTCCCACACGCAGGACTTCAGGGAGGCCCCTGTGGGCCTCCCTCACAACAGCCACTGTCATAAAGTCAGAAACCAGAGCCTCTCCCACCCAAGCGCACGGAATGGAATGTCTGTTTTGGCCTTTGGGTAGTGGGGACAACAAGACCTGCCTGTTCCAGCATGCTGCACGCAGAGCCCTGTTTGCTCTGCAGCCACAGGTTCCAGAGAGCCCAGACATTTACCTGGAGACTCTCCCCATGCTCTCCAATGGTGACCAAAGGGCAAATCAGCACAAGGGATTCTCCAGCCTCAACCAGGGCTTATTACACAGTGACATCCTCTGAGCTGACTCACTAAGACCCCTATTCTTAGGCCTTCTGTGTGATTATCTCTGTAACTAAGATGCAAATCCACCCACCATCACCAGCATGGACACCACACAGACCTGCAGTGCCTGGATAGCATTTTGATAGCAGGTCAACTCTCCACAGATGTTTCTCGAGTTCTGGGCCAGGCGGTACCACATGCTTGCCAAATAGCCTTCCTTCTCATCCTTAAACTTCTGAATTTCCATGGTGAAGTTCTGCCCAAGTTTGGCCTTCACAATCACCATATGTTTGAAAATCAAGCTGAAGAACAGGAGAGGATGGGTCAACGCTGGGATGCTAAAACACTAAGCATACACATGACGTATAGAATGTCCATTGCCTACATTCTTGCTGGCAGGGATGGGACCAGAGAGGGACCTGGCTAGGGTTTTTTATGCTATATATCTGGTTCTTATTGGGGAGGTGAAGCCCTTCAATGGAAAGGGACAATGGGAAAGCCCAGCTGAGGCAGTGTGGCGAGCATCCCGGGGTGCTCATGGCGAGGACACTCACAGGCGGTGGGCTGTCCGCGGCAGTACTTGCACAGCCTCATCTAGCACCTTAAGACCCATCTCCCAGTCGTTCCGGTCAGCATGGCTGTTGAAGAGCAGAGTATAGAGTGCAGCACGGAGTGTGAGGTCATCCTCAGCCCCTGGGGGAAAGGAGAGATGGGGCCTCAGGGGGGCCGGGTAGCCAGCTCCCTGCCAACCAGCTCCGCACCCCTGACTTCCTCACAGCCAAGACATAGTTTTCCATTCATACACAGGCATCAGAAGTTGCCACCTAGGGCTGGTGGTAGATCAGTGTGGCTCCTGCCCACAGCCCACCATGGCTTAGGCACTCTGTCTGAGGGAACCTGCTCCAAGTGCCCCTCCTGGTCACCACCACTCTCTGTATACTGTCTTTGAGGACTTCCAACTCTTGTGGAGTCTCTTGGTTGCCAAGCACATGATCTGAGGGTCAGGGGGGCAGATTGGAGTCCCCAATCCCCCGTGAGCCCTCTCTTCTTAGAAAGCTGGTTATTTTCTTTTAATCTAAAAATGAACAACATGACCACGAGGAAATAGAAATCTGTTCTTCCCTCTGCTCATCCCGGTAACATTCAGGGAAGGCTGCAGGCTTTGCCGCCAAACTTGTTACTTATCTCCAGTGCCGACCCTGGCACTGAGCATGAAGGTGAGTCTTGCTGGCTGTGGTTGGCAGGGGTCTTGCTTTTCTTTTTGCTGTTGTTCTAATGCTAACTGTCCTAACATAGGGGATGCTGGGTCAGCGCTGAACCGACTGTTCTAGCATAGGGGATGGTGGTCAAGGACTGAAGACACCCATGGCTCTTGACACATGTTGGCTGAGAGATGACACCATGAGGTACTGCTCAGGTTGGTGGCTTTGCCTGCTTTCTTCTACTCCAAGATAGGCTTGAAAAACAAGCTAACCTTGGGCACTTGAGGACCTCATAGTTCCTTTAGTATTTGAATTTATTATCTAAACCTGTCAGCTCACTGGAATGTGTGTGTGTGTGTGTGTGTGTGTGTGTGTGTGTGTGTGTGTGTGTTGCTCTGTGCATGCTCATCCATAATTCTATGTGGCCTAGCCTCCACTTTTTGTTCTTGGTTCCTCACGTGGTGCACTGAGATATACCAGGTCCATTGCGGTATTTCACCTATCAGTGGGTAAAAGACTTAGGGCAGAGACCCTGCTCATCAAACATTGCTGCCATCCAGCAGCAGGGACAATGGACTTCTTTTCACTACTGTTCTTACATACGCAGACTCAGATCCAGGCCTGGGGGTGCATGCTGGGGAGAGCAGCCAAGGCTTGGAAGAGCCGAGCCCTGAGCCAGAGGGCGTCCTCGTCTGACTAGCTCCAGCTCCTCCCCACACTGGACGTGAGTATTTCCCACATTGTCACTCCATCCTTCTCTGCCTTTCCCATCGGTTGGATTTTTTTGGTCTGTTTGAAAGTGTGCCTCCTTTTACAGAATTTCTGCTTGCCTGACTTTACCTTCTGATGCTTTTCATCTGGAATGGAAGATGGTTTTGTTTTAGCTGTTTGTATGTTTGAAAGAAAGTTTCACTATGTAGCTCTGGCTGTCCTGGAGCCATGTAGACCAGGCTGGCCTCTGACTCACAGCGACCTCTTTGCTTCTATTTCCTAACTGTGGGATTAAAGGTGTGTGATACCACATTTGGCCCAGAGTGGGAGGGTTTTTTGATTATTTTTTTTTATTTTATGTGTATGAGGTATTTGTTTGTGTTTGTTTTTTTTAAAGATTTATGCCTGTGTACTCCATGTGTGACCATGCTCATGGAGACCAGAAGAGGTTATCCCCCGGAAATGGGGTTACAGATGGTTGTCAACAACTGTGTGGGTGCTGGAAATTGAACCTGCCTTCTCTGGAAGACATCAGGTGTTCTTGACAGCTGAGTTACCCCTCCAGCAAGAATGAGAATTTCTGAAGCCATGGACTTCCTGACCTACCTAATAATGGTTTCCAGGGGTGAGTGCAGTTTGACTTCCAGCTTCTGTCTGGCTCTATACTTAACAAGCTGACTCAACTGGCCACCAAATATCTTGGAGTCTGATCCAGGGCTGCCTCTCAGATTCTTGTGTTATCTGTATTGTTTTTCTTTCAATGTCTGTCAATATTCGAAATTCTGGGGGTTCAGTACGCTCTTTACTTTCATATGGCCATGCATTTGTTCTTAATTTTAAATCAGTTTTACCTATGAATAGTCTAACATGCTCAAGGCAGGGTCTACTAATCTATTTCACAGTGCCAAATGCACACAGGGCTCTTGATTGACAGGGAATCTTATCATGAGAAGAAAATGTATTCTTTTTGGAAAATTGAAATGGTACTGGATGTATCTCTGTTGTTCTGAGATCAGAGCAGTGTTTTCCTGTCCCTGTTTTGTCAAGAAGTGCACTTGCACAGTTTTTCAATGGTAGGAACATGATCAAGGGGAAGACAATACGCATCTATCAGCATAGCCAGGGTCTTAGGTGAGCGCTCTCCACTCCGGTCGGATGGAGGACCCGGGCTGGGTGTTCTCTGTACAGAATAGGTTTTCACAGAAGCTTAGGGGAACACATCGAGTGAGAAGCAGACACGCTCGTTGGCATGGTCCTGATTAAGGTGCCTCGTGTAAGGAGACAGGCTATGAAACATAGGATGCTCAGGCTCCCAGAGTTCTCCTTTCCCACCGGCTCCACGGCCACCAACCTGGGAGGAACTGGATTTCGGGTGCTGTCCCTCCAGTCTGGAAGTCAGCTGTCGGCCACTGGTGCAGAGGCAGTGTTTTCTCTGTCTCCTTAAGTGAAACAACTGTGGCACCGGTTGGAGGGCCCTGATGTGTTCCTCCGTTTTGGTCCTTATTAGTGTCAGTCAAAAACAAAAAGAAAACAAAATAAAACAAATAACCAAAGAGAAAAGAAAAACCAGAAATTGCCACAAAATTTCAGAACTATCAAGTCACAAAAGTTAAGCACATGCACCATTCTTGCCACATATGTACAAGATCATACATGCATACCACATCATGTACCCTGTCATAACACACCATACTACACATAGACCATACTGTACATGCCAGAACCTCCTGTGCCATACATGAACAATGCCATATCATAACACATTGTACCTCATACTCTCATACCATATACAACACACCACATTGTGCACACAACATACTACACACAACATTCCATACACACCATAGCATAATGCACAATCATAAACATATCATATCACACATATATTGCAGCACACATAACAAATTGTAACCAACACACCATACCATACCACACTACTCTACCATATCAGCTATAGACCATACCATACACCAAACACACACACATACACACACACACCTATATATATATATATGTATGTACACACACACACATATATATATATATATATATGCAGTGCGCCTCCACATTTAGTGTATATATATTGTGTGTATATATATACATATACATATACATACATATATATATATATATACAAACTCTACCCAACACATACCATACCATATGTACATACCAAACACTATATCACACACACACACTCCACCGTGTCACCCACACTGCATACAATACCTACCACATACCATACAACATATGCCATCTGCATATCACAGCACAACATACACACATCACATATCCCACAGACACTACACATCCCACACTATACACACGTATACAGAACAGACTACTCTCCTAATGTAAGCTAGTTGTTTCCAATGATGTGAAACATGTTAAATCAATGCAGTAAAAAGTTTAGAAAAACATCTTATGGGATGCAGTGAAAGCAATGCTCAGAGGCAGGCTAACAGCTGTGAATACCCTGCCAATACAATAATCGACCTCAAATCGATAACCTACCTATTATAACCTCCAGTTATCAGTAAAAGATTAAACTAATTTTGAAACGGCTACTGCGAACAGGGGAGGCTGCTGATTCAAAGTTGTTTGAAAGGGGGAGGAAATGGAGGGACTTCTGGATTAGGGGGAGTGGAGGTCAGAGGCTACCCCTGCGGTTGGCCAGGCTCTCAGGCCTCTCTTGGACCTGGAGAATACAGTGTTACCCAGCAGGAGAAGCTGTGTAAGAGGCATCTGTAAGAGGAGGTACCCAGTGTGCGCCATGTCTGGTGGAGGGTCATCTCCTATGGGAGCTGTGTCCCAATGGGGGCTGTGCTCAGTGACAGTTGTGTCCCAGTCAAGCCATGCCCCAAGGCAGTCATATTCTGTGGGAGACGCTGTGAGGCTGTCTTCCTGTGAGTCTGGCCAGGCCTGAGGGGAAAGGCCTCCAAGGAATCTAACTTGTGTCTCTGTGGCACCTGCTTCTTGTTCTCCGTCTTGTTGATGATGCCGATGATTCTCTGGAGGGATGCCTTGGCCTTCTTCCTATTGGCCGGTGAGGACAGAAGTGGGAGCCATGTGTTCCAGTAGTGCCGGGCAGCCATCATCACCAGGGAATTGCTGTTTGCCAGGCCCCCAAACCTGAAATGGCATGCCTCATCTGAAAAACCCAACAGGACTGCTCGGGCTGCTCAGCCACACCCATGCACGCACACGCAGTCACACACACACACACACACACACACACACACACACATGCACACCTCTCCCCTGGTACATCCTTTCCCAGGAGTTTCTGTGTCTTGTAGGGGAGGAGTGGAATCAGGGTGTCTCAGCTCTGGCACTGTATGGCAGGCACCATGGTAGTGCAAGCCTTGTGTGACACCTTCCTAGCTCCTCAGGTGCTGATCACATCACAGGGCAATGATGGGCTCTCCTAACCTGGCCCTTGCTGTGTTCATCTGCCCCCTGTATCTTAAGCCCATGGATGCTTAGGGACCCTCCACACATTCTTTGCACCCATTCGGCTCACGGCTCTATTGAGTTTCTCCCAATACTTCCCATGGATGCCCTGGTGTCTATGAGCTCAGCTGAGTGACAGGATGTAGGCAGAGGCTGACTGGTACTACATGATTCCTTCCTCGGGACTCAGTAATGTCCCATAGCACCATGATGGCACTACACTGGCAGCTTCTTCCTACATTCACCCAAGCCAGTCCATCCCCCGGTTGCATACCTGGCACTTTCTACGAAGGCCTTGGCTGCTGCTAGTCGTAGCTGCTTCCTGCCTTTCAAGTTTTCCATGATGCTGCGGCCCTGGATGCAGGACACCATACACAGCATTTCTGCTGCAAGCTTGGCATTGGTTCTGGAGAGGACACAGAGCAGCTTAGGGGAGAGGTGGGGAGAGGTGGGGAGAGGTGGGGAGTGCTGCATGCTGAGCTCCACGTGCTGCAAGTGCTGTCCTTTCACCTATTGCCCTGCAGAGGCATCCAAAGACAGAGGTACATTTCTGCCTTATTCTGTGCTTTACAGACTTGCCTGCCTGATTGGCGATGCAGGGCACGTGATTCTTCTTCTGGCCTTCTGAGGCCATCCTTACCACTGAACTGAGATGCCCGCATCTGGCCTGGGTGTTTGGGACACTCACTGAGGGGATGGTTTTCCATCCGCAGAGATACTACACAGCAAGGCTCATGGAGGACCCTGGAGATGCCCATGCACAGAGGACTTATGGGGAATGGGGGTATTATCTCTGTGGGTGCCTGGCTGATGGATTCTCAATTACCCTTATGAGAGACCCCAAATCAGAACTAACTGACTGAGTCCAGTGAACCCACAGAACCATGAGACAGACTACTTAATTGGCGTTTCAGCTGCTAGTTTCTGGTGGCATTCCATGCATCAGTGGGCCAGCAGAACCATCTGTTGGGCTCAGCCAGGCCCTGTTTCCTGGGCTCAAAAGAAAGTCTTGTCCCAAGCGGTCTGTGCTCTCCGCTTACAGAGGCACACAGGCCTGCAGTATCATCTCAGAGCACACAGCTCCTCAGACACTCCCCTGTGTCCCAAATCCAGTGGAACTGTGGTCTGGGTACATTCATCATGGGGGTGGGGGTGGGGGTAGCAGGCGTGTTCTGGCTGCTTAGCTCAGCCACACAGATTTTATTCTGTGAGTGATAAACTTGTTCTGAGAACATTTCTTTTGGGTTCAGGGGCTCTGGAAGACAGACACCTGCTTGCTGGAGCAAACAATCACATATGCTCTGAGGAGCCAATAGAGGAAGGTGCATCTGACCTTAGCCTGCAAGGACCTGCTGGATGGTGGGAATTTGTGATCTGAAGATAAACTGAGGCTGTGTGGTAATTAAAACCCCCTTCATAGGTGGTAGGTTGGTGTAAAGAAGGTTGAGAGCCTAGCCTGGGGAGTAACAGTTGGAAATTTTGATCTTTGTTATACAGGTCTAGACAACTCAAAAAGGAGGTGCGCTTCAGCCAACAGGGTGCAACGACAACAATCACCAGCAGGGGGCAACAGCGGTCTATAAAAGATTCTCAGAAGCCTTAGGAACTCGGCATTGCCCCCTTCAGGTTTCTTGTTGCTTTTTGTATGCGTGGGCATCTTTGCTTTATTTATTACAGGGATTTCCTTTATAAATCAGATTTGATTTAATATTAGTGATGGGACGTGTGCTAGCCTGGCCTGGTCCTATGCCCAGCTCTCCTCCTGTGCCCAAGCAGGCAGTGGCTGTGCACACTAGCACAAACAGCATACAGCAACCTTTTCTGCAGGGATGCTCAATCCTTTTTCCACTAAGGATGACTTTTGAGTTATATTAGTGCCTCTTGCTTGCAGGGTTGAACATGAACACTTCCCCCAGCTCTGGTCTGACCCTAGGGGGTGTGACTTCTAAGTCTGCAGTTACCTCATGTACCTCCCCTGGTCCATCTTCCCTGCTGATAAGTGGACTGCACCCTGAAATCGTGAGCTAAAATTAACCTTTCAGTCCTGAGTTGCTTCTAATCAGTCCACAGCAATGAGAAAAGCAACTAACACCACCGGTGACTTGGAATTTCCAACAGTTGCCATGGGAGACCTGACAGAGATGCTGTCTCCTGACCAATAAACAAGGTGATGGCCTCTCCAGGGGCATGTCCTCCAGTGACAGTATACTTCAGTGAAATGCATCTTGTTCCTTCCAAAATCACTTTGGAATGTGTTTTAACTGAGAACCACATATGTCCCCTAAGGTCATATGCTGAAATCTAATTCCCCGGGTGATGGTTATCAGTAGAAGGGCTGTTGGGAAGTGAGGCAGTGCAGTGTAGTGCTGGAGCCTCAGGATGGGAAATCTGCCTCATAAAGGAATATTAAGGAGCTTCTTGTCTCTTCTATCATGTGAAGTGGTGACCTTTGAACTAGGCAGAGACACTCATTAGACACCAACCGAACTTGAACACCAGCTTCTACCCACGAACAAGAAATCCCTTTCTTAGGCTTCTCCAGCTGTGGTATTTTATCACAGCAACCTCAACTAAGAGAACCATCCACTCTTGGCTAGTGGTCATACACAGACAGCTGTTGTACAGATCTCCTAACTGAGGTTTATGTGGCTCTCAGTTCTCAATGACACAGTTTCATGGGCCCTGTTCACTGTGTTGTTCTAGAGCACAGTGCCAGAAGCAGATAGAGGACCACCAGGTTCCTGCAGCCATCCCTTGGTCGGTCAGCTGGGCTAAGCCTCTGGCTCCTGCTTGGGTAGGGGTCACACTCTTCCCTCTGCTTCTCTGGGGATATTACTGTATACCTCTAGGACATCATCGTGGAAGTCACTTACGGTTCAAACGACCTCAGGTGCTTGAGGCCCATCTGTGTGGCATTCTGAGAACACGACATGGTGACCTCATGGTCGTGAGCCATATAGGCAAAATGGGTGAGGCGTGTCAGGGTCTGTAGCTCCACCAGGCGGTCTGACCAGTTGCACTCGGAGGCCATTTTCACCACCTTATCAGCACGTGAAGCAGGGGAGGACATTGTGTTAGTGACAATGACTGCCTAGTGGTCTGTGGCTCTCAACAATGACCATGCTGCCAGCCCGGTGAGCTCCATCAATCCTGTGTTACCTGAACATGGCTTTGCATGCATGCAGACATGGATTACTAAGCATATGCAGTTCTAGATAGACCACCCATCCGTGAAGCCTAGCAACAATGTAAGGTTTGCTGCTGATCTCAGCTGCTTCGTCTCTCCTGATTTCCCATGCCACCAGGCCACCTCTAGACCAAGGGCAAGGTACGCCCGATCTCTCATATGCCTCTGTCTGTGCTGAGGTCTTAGGATGAAGAGGACCGCAGACAAGCCACTAAGAGAAGCATCCTCCTCACACTAGTATAAAGGACAGTTCCATCCAAAGGTCAGACGTGTGTGCTTTGAGAGAAAGCAGTTGTCCGGATACAGCAGGAACTGTAGTGTGGGTGTGGATGTGGGTTTGAGTTCTGACTGCCTCAGGCAGGATCCCAAGCCTAAGCCTCCTCATCTTTCCCTGGATGGGGGTTGTTGAGTTCCCTCCTGGGATACCTGAGGAAACCCACCTGAACAAGCGGGGGCACAGTGAAATCCATGAGGCCCAACCCGTTGCACGAGTACATCTCAAGGGCAACTAGGACTCTGGTCATGGAGCTGATGTCTTCATTGGTACTCTGGAAGGATAGATGGGCTTGAGTGTTTGGCTGCCCAGGGAACAGGGGAGGAAAGCAGTGGAGACCTCAGCCACTTTTGAGAACCCTGTCCAGCATTGGTCTCAGGGAACAGCCAGACGATGGTATTTGGAATGTTGATCTCCTAGACTTTTTTGGTAAAGTTAACCTGTACATTATTCTCTTAAGCAGCAAGGCCTGAAGTCTGTACACTCCTGGGCCTTGAAGACAGTGTTGTCTGGCTACTCTAGGGGTTTCGATAGGGAGAAAGCTGCTGATTCCTGGTTGCTGATACAGGATGTCTCATCAACCCCTTCTGCCTGGCCCCAGCATAAATGTCCCTTCTGACCCTTCCCCTTCTCTCTCCCCACCCCCACCGCTCCTTACAGTGATTTACTTGCTGCAGAGTCAGGGACATGGGGATACTTGAGTTCATACTGTTCCCTTCTTCCCAGACCTTGCTTCCATAGTCCTTTGTGTTTGGGAGAGGGGAAGGTGGGGTGCCAAGGAGCTGACTCTGTCAGTGAGTGACAATGAGAGTGGGCAGCACCCCCCAGAGGCCCAGAGCTCAGATCTGGTAAAGACTTTTTGCCTTAACTCGCAAGAGCAGTAATTTTGGTGAGCAACCTCAGCCCTCACTAGGTGGAAACAGTCCCTTCCCAGCAGCTGTGGCCATATCTAAGACCATACTGAGAACACTGAGAAAGACAGTCCGTGGGTCCTAATGTACCCAGCACCTACCTGTTCATCGGTGCCCAGCCGCGGACCAATCTGCTGCTGCAGCAGCTGCTTGGCCTTCACCCAGGTGGAGATGAGGTGCTGCCTTACGTTGGTGGGGACGATGTCTTCTGGCACGTTCCCATTGGTGAGGTTCAGTGCAAATTCACAGACCTAAAACAAGTGCATCTTAACCACAAGGCAAATCAAAGAGGAGACCTTGAGCCCTCTTCCCTCCAGCCTTCCCCCTGGCTCCCTGCACCCAGGCCTCGAGTTCTCCTGTGGCTACACCCCTGGGCTGCAGGGTGTAGTTACCTCCACAGCTGTTCTGATGTCCGATAGAGCGGAAGACTCCAGTGGGCCATGAACCAAGGTAGGGCGCACGTTCTTTTTCAACTTTTCAGCTGTCTGGGTGGGAATCCAGCTCATGATCAGGCCTCGAGCAAGGGCATTACAGAGCATGACCAACAGGACCGAGTCCCTGGAGGGTGACAGGAGAGCAGGACAGTGCTTAGCCCATGCAGAACCTCACAGTACCCCAGCCTCCAGGCCAGGATGAGGTGGTGAGTGTGCTTTAGAGCATAGACCATAGCTGAGTGCTGCTAAGTGCCAGTTCGCGTTCCCTTCTCCCTCCCTCCCTCCCTTCTTTCCTTTCTTTCCTTCTTGGAAGGTTCTCATTATGTTGCCCTGGCTGGCCTGGAACTCACTTTGGAGACCAGGCTAGCCTGAAACCCACCCCAACGAAAATGCTTTCAGATTTCTAACTTCTCATCCATCTAGATTAAACAAACAAACAAACAAACAAACAAACAAACAAACAAACCATGTAGTCATGAAATCCCACCCTCTCCCCACCCTTAGCCCAAGATGTGAAGACAACAAAGCTACTTCACAGAGTGTCTGGGCCTAAGCTGGCGTCTTTGCAATGGCTTGGAGCAGTGCCAGCCAAGGGCAGTGAGGCAGGTATGAGTTCCCTGGGCCCTGGGGGTCATATCATTGCAGTACAGGCTGAGTGTGTCCTCCATGCACAGGCCTAACCCCGCAGCTGTGACTTTTGAATACAAACACTTGTGAGTGCGCACACCTACCCCATGTATCCAGTGACCTTGATGATGTTCAGGAAGTGGAACAGGGACTCCACCAGCTCTTTCTGCCTCCCAGCCAAGATGAGATGCCGGTTGTGGTTCAGAACATAGACCACAGCGTTCTGCACGATCCAGGACTCCCCTAGCTCCTGCCCAATTTCTGCAGCACGCATCCAGTTGTTCATGGCATACTGTGACAAGTTTTCTATCCAGGTTCTGAAACAACACACCATGCAGTGGTCAGCTCAACGCCCAACCTTCACCTTCCCTATCCCATTCACCACCGCTGATGTGAATGTGGGCTCTCCTGGTCATCCCCACCCCAGTTCTCAAGGTATCTCAGTCTAGTCAGGGAGTCAGGCTCGAGAGGGACTGTCTTGGTGCTACTCACGCAGCTGTCCCCAAATGCCCCTTATCACACCTAGGCCCGGCGAGCCATTGCCATACCCTGTCTTTCCGTCCTATCCAGATGCTGGCAGCTCCCTCTCACCACTTCCCCCATGCTGTGAGCCTTACAGGTCCTTCTAATAGCTCCCTGGTTTGAGGAGAAGCGCTGACCTAAGCGCTCGCCCAGGCTGCCTCCTGCCATGCCTGTATCTGCCTTCACCTCCCGGCTCCTAGACATCCTGTAGTTGTGACAGCCTCCGCTGCACATCGCTTGCTGGGTGGTGGTACCTACAGCAGGGCAATGAAGCCGCTCACCACGGTGCGCACAGTGCCAGGGATTCTCTCCCATCAGCCCCCATCAGGGGCCAAGCGGGCCTTTTTGTGAGTTGCTAAAGTCTCTAGTCTTCTCTTTGTGTTTACAGTTGTTTGATTTGTCCAAGCCACCCTCAGCTCTGGCTGCATACAAACATCCTGGGCTAGAACATGTATATCTTGCTTCATCTACAGCTAGGCCTGGGCAAAGGAGGCAGATTCTTACACACTAGTGTACAGAGGTGTTTCTCATCCTTCCTAATGCTATGGCCGTTTAATACAGTTCCTCATGTTGTAGTGACCCCAGCCATAACATTATTTTCATTGCTACTTCGTAACTAATTTTGCTATTATTACGAATCATAAAGTAAGTATCTGATATGTGACCCCCCCCAAGGGGGTCATGACCTATAGGTTGAGAACCACTGGTCTCCAGGGTGGCTGGGACTCCTACCCACCTGTACGTGAGCCACTCTGAATTGCTCTCTGGTGGTTCAGGCACATAGCCAGCTGGGTGTTGGCTCAAGTCCTCAGGAGGAATGGCCTGGTTGTTCAGCTGTACACCTTCCAAGCGCAGGAAATGGACCGTGGCCTGTGAGGAAGACTACAGTCAGAGAAGTCACAGCTAAGCTGACCCCAGCACTGTGGGGAACACAGAGCAAAGCCTCCTTCCTGAAACTCTCCTTTGGAAAAAGCCAAACATAAGCTAGAAGGAGTACATCATGCTGGATTTGAACACCCCACCTGCCTCAACACCCTGCCAATTCGAGAGTCTCCACAAGAGAGGAGCTTATTTCAAAAGCACAGCCCATGCCCGTTACCATACTTCTGCGGGAGGGCGGAACAGTCTTCATGCTCTCCTGTGGCCGCTAGCCGACTGCCCATCTCCCGGAAGCCTCCTAAACTTGCTCCGCCACATCGAAGGCTACAAAGCCTACTTGGCAGGGGAAGGGGTGTGAGGAAACGGCTCAGGCCCACCCCTTGCTGGTAAACCAGTTAGTCAGTCTCAGCCACTGGTCTCCTGCTTCTCAACTCTCGGCCCTGCCATCTGGCAGTTTCATCACTGGTCATGTTGTGTTCCAAGACTTTAATGGGATAAACAGGCGTGTGCCTCAGCTTCTTCCTTGTGTCCACTGAGTAAGACCAAGGAAACTGTTGTAGCCATTGTGGGGGTGAAAGTGTCTCTGGCGCTGGTCCAGGTATGGAGGCAGAGAGCTCACACTCAAGGGCTTTGGATGCAGCTGGGTCACAATACATGTGGTTAGCTTTGGGCAGGGCCAGCACTGGGTCTCAGTATCCCTGTCTGTAAGGAAGCAGGTCTGCTGGGAACCAAGATCCAGTCCAAGCCTCTGCTGGGTCCATGGAGTAATAGGGCAAATACCTCATCTTCAAAAGCTTTCTAAGCCAACTCCAGGTTCAATCCTCAAATGTGACTTCACACCCAGAATTCAGAAATTATTTCCCACAAAAAAATGTGCACTGACACACACCACGATGTATCTCAAGTCACACTTTTCTTATACAGTCCTCAAGAACTGAATTAATTTTCTTTCTTTACCATGAGGTTTTGGTTTGGGCGTTCGTGTATGTGTGTGTGTGTGTGTGTGTGTGTGTGTGTGTGTGTGTGTACGCTGCAGAGGGGAGCCCTTACAAGTCTCTCTGGTGTGTTAATGGCCACATCATCACTGGCAGCTACAATGGCCAAGACCTTCCTGACATACCTCAGCACTGATGAACGAAACCTCTGCGATCTTCCTCAGCAGGTCAGGGGCCATCTGCTTATGCAGGACCACCTCAGAGGGACCCCCCCAGTCATGCACAGAGCCCTCAATTCCTTTTTTCTTCCTTCCTGAGGGAACAGCAACAGGGAAAGGGAGACTCATGTGGTTTTGAGCTGTCAAAACCACAGCAGTTCCTGCCCAGCTCTTTGTGGGACAAGCCCTTCGAGAAGGCCAGCACGGGCTGGTATAAACCTGTATCCTTCGGATGATTGCCACTACTGGTCTGCTGTAAGCAAATCTGCCACTTGATGTTGATGGGACCCCTTTTATGAAATGGTGCCGTGTACATGTGGAATCTGTCCAGTCCCCCCCTGAGCTTTTAGTCATCTGTAGTTGACTGTGACAGTGATTGCTGTGTGTGCACCGTGAGGATAACTGATAAAGGGGATCAAAGTCAGGAAGCAGGCTGCGTGTGCTCAGCACAGATGCTTGTTTCTTGTTGCAGATATTTCTAGACCTTGGTGGTTGACCCTGCGACTATGAAGCTCACAGATAGAGGCCTGACTGAATATGTACTCAGAAATGTTTCTATCTATGAAAAGGCTCTTCTAAACCCAAACACATGACCAGGGCCCTTCCAAGAGGTGGCTACTCTCTCTGTGTTACTTGGTGTCCTTTGGTGATTGTGCCACAGCCACAAGAGGCTCATGAAGGCCTGAAGCTCAGCCTCCCCACATGCCAGGGGACGCATAGTAAGGATGCATACCTCGCTTTAGCTTTGTGGACCTCTTCGTCTTGACACTGTCATACAGGAGGCAGAAGCGTGTTGCCGTGCGACAGACATCCCACACGTCTTGCTGCCAAGCAACCTTGGCCAACTCGGCCCAAATCACAATTCTGCTCATCAAGATCCCGGTGGTGAGAAGGAAACACAGGTGAAATTAGGAACACCTACAAGGGCTGTTCAAGGCGTAAGCATGGACCATGCAGCGTCCAGGTGTCGAACAGTGACACCTTGAGACACAGAAGTGCAACTGGCTGAGGGTGTGAATGGGGGGATAGCCCTGGACAGTGGGGTGAGGCAGGGGGTTAGAACTCAGGTGTGTCAGGGCTGGAATACTTCCTGGGTAAGGACTAGGGGCCAGAGCTAGGCCTGTCCCCAAGGTCATATACAGCTCTCTCCCCACTGTCAGTGGCACTTCTGGTCATATAACAATGAGAAATGCTCCCACAGAACTCATTTCCCTGCATTTTGTGTGGGTGGGTGTCTCTGGGTTGGGGATTCCTGTGGTGGCCTTGGCCAGCATGATCTAATAAGTTGTCCCACAGAAGGGAGCCACATCCTGCACAGGGGCTGTATGTGGAGCATCTGTGGCTTGTGCCATCTGTCACGGGGTCCCAGGCAGCCAGGAACTTGGTGCCCAGATGAAGGTCTCAGCTGACAGACCCTCCTTGCTGGCCCACCTCTCTTTATCATTCTCATATCCCAGGCGGCGGAGGTGCCCAGCAGCTTTGTCCACACAGAGGATGTGATGTCGAGCTTTTGCACAGAGGTAGGTGAAGCGGCCCTTGATTTTCCCAATGGAAACTGAAAGCAGAAGACAGTCAAGGTGAAAAGGTGTGCCAGGGTTGGGTATAGAGTAGCACTGCTGAGTCAGGCAAACAGGCCCACAGTCTACAAATGAGGTTTGGGTAGCTGAGCTCATCTATGAATGTAAAGAGGCCCCGTCACTAGTGCATCATCACCAGTGTATCACCAATGTATCACCAGTGCATCACCAATGTATCACCAGTGTATCACCAATGTATCACCAGTGCATCACCAATGTATCACCAGTGCATCACCAATGTATCACCAGTGCATCACCAATGTATCACCAGTACATCACCAATGTATCACCAGTGTATCACCAGTGCATCACCAGTGTATCACCAATGTATCACCAGTGTATCACTAATGTATCACCAGTGCATCACCAATGTATCACCAGTGTATCACTAATGTATCACCAGTACATCACCAGTGCATCACCAATGTATCACCAGTGCATCACCAGTGTATCACTAATGTATCACCAGTGCATCACCAATGTATCACCAGTGCATCACCAATGTATCACCAGTGTATCCTCACCAGTGTATTCTTACCAGTGTATCACCAGTACTTTCCAGCAATGACACTGAGCTACTGTTGAGTGTGTGGAGTCTTTAGTCATCAGAGATAGGGAAACTTCTGGTTTAAGTCAATGATGTTTTGCTGGGGCACACAGGTGAAAGGATGCCTGGCTAAAGCAGACACATGAAAGAGTGTTTTCCTGAAGCAGACACAGACAAAAGGATGCTTTGCTATAGTGGACACGTGAAAG